TTCGAACAGTGCTTGATTTTTGGGTAGTCAATCTACCCATATAATTGGTCGGTTGGAAAATGTTGTTTTTACACATTTCCTTTGATCATTTCCTCCACTGTCGTACAAGAGTGTCGAATATTTTTATGAGAATATGTTTCTTTAACTACACAATGAAGGTATGTTGAAGAATTAATAAGTATTTACGTTTTGGCTATAATTGAAAACTCGTAATTGTACCTTGTCAACTCGAATGTACGATGTCCCATTGAACTTACTCAATTCACAGTTAACCCTAATACAGGCAACGTATTTTTCATAACACTAAAATACAAGGGGGGTTAGATGCATTTAAAGTTGAAACAAAGCGATTACAGAATTACTTCAATTTGATTGAATTATTTAAAATATTGAGCACTTTCGAGATATATCATAAGGCCATAAGAAGTAGATTCTTTGTTTTGCGTCCCCTTGCTTGCACGATTTTGAGTAAATCAGAAAAAACAAACACATCCAAATAGCAATCACAAGAGTCTGAAAGTACCATCGCATTTCGTTCAATCAGAATCAGACGAAATGGGGGATAATTTGCTGTGCCTCAAAATTGACAGTGTTATTTTGGTATACATTGTTTATTTCCGAATTTTTTACCCTTGAATAATAGCTATATGTTTAAATATATTGTATAAAATGTATAGATATGTGTTTGTAATCACTACACATTGGTATGTCATCCCTTTTAATGCCGCCCTTGAAATGTATTCATTTCTCAGCAAACATTTTTTTGTTTTTTTCTTGATTTTGTGTTTGTTTTCCTTGTACCCTTGCATGATTTGAATTTTGCCAGGACACAAAACGAAGAATCTACTTCTTATGGCCTAAACGGGTTTTCAAAAAATCATATTCAATAATCTAATGAGCAGGAAGCAAACTCCGCGGCAATGCTAGTCTTTAACATATTCTATTCCGAGACACTGAATAGGCGTTTGGGCTGCACAAATTAACCATCATCACAACAATACTTTCATAAAATGAAAAAGCAAAAAATCACATTTACCTTATCTTTAAAATCCTCTGTACAAAGGATACTTGAACATGTTCGTTAAAGATCCTTTGTTACTCATAAAACCTTAATGAATTTGTGAAATGAAATCATTTCATTGTTTAATATTATAGCTCATGAATTTAAATTACAGGAACAACGTATATTCGAGTTGACAACGCACATTTCTGATTTTTTTAATACTAGAAAGTTGAATATCTTCCCAAACGAATACACACGAACTCAAACTTGAAATCCTTAATGTATTGTTTACTGCTCAGATATTTTTTTTAAAACCTACATCAAATCTACATCATTGTCTTTGCTTCAAATCCGTTAATAATGACACCGTGCGTTATCGATGGTTAGGCGTGTCAATGAGGTGTCTCCAAATAGCATCAAGTTATTTTCCAGACAAACGGATGGACGGATTGACAAGAATGCTTTACTTTATCTCAGTAGGAACTTCTTGTGTCGTGATCTAATTAGCTAATGCGACACACCTTCTAACTCCCTATATCTACAACAACGTGACAGTTTCTGCTTTGCAATAAGAGTTTTGGTCTAAAGAGCATGTCAGTACGAACTAAGATCATGTCATGGCATTTGATATGCGTATGTGTCAAGTAGTTTTATATTATTTTTCATAAACCCTTACTCGTCTAGTGTAATAAATCATTTAGTATTGAACATTTCAATCAAATCACTCCGATCCAGAATGTTTTGTGCCAACCTATTCGCAGAGATCGCACGAATTTCAAATGGCAGTGGTAAAGACGAGCCACGACGACTATAAAAGTTGATTTTTTTATCTGACTATCATTATTCACGGGGGTAAAGCAGACCCGATGATGCAATGAGCTTGGTCGGTGGTATCATGATTGTGTAACGGGTCTTATGTATAAGTGTGCTCGGCGGTAGGTTCAAACAACGCGGATCCTCAAAGCATGTGCTCATGATATATTCGTGTTTTAACACCCGTGATTATTGATATTTTGGCAATATTGGATCGTAATAATTCAATGCGGTAAATTCAAATTGTTAAACGACTGTTTTATCTTTTTTATGCATTTGATTACATTGAAAACACAAGGTATGCATAATCTAATATCTTCCACTTCTAAAACAACAATAATCTGATAATAATCACCGTTTATCTGCTACTTATAAAATCATGGTACTAATCTTTTTGGTTTAGTCGTCGTGGCTCGTCTTTACCACTACCACCCGAAATTGGTGCGATCTCCACGAATATGGTGTATTCTATAAGTCTTTTTAAGTAAACCAGAAACAGATTTGTTCCAACCTTTTTTGTAAAGAAAACTTGAGAGAATTGCAAATTGAGTAACAGATCATTTTCAATGAAAAAGAGTTTCGAGTAATTTAGGATATATATAAAGTATAAGTACATGATAATTATAATTTTCATTTACACGTTTAGTTCTGAATTTTCAATGAATTGTCAAATAAGTTTCCAAATAAGTAAAGATATGTTCATTGAGATTCAACTTAGACATTCAAGTTAAAAATTTAGACTCGGGTACATATTGATTATAGATCAATGTGATCTATTCTAAAAACCTTGCTTCTCAATAACCTAAGTACTTCATTTTGTTTTTGATGTTTGTACTTCATTTTGTTGGAAGGTCAGACAAAAGTACATACGATCAAGGTCTCGGAGTCAGTAGTACAATATAATTCTTACTGCGTTTTCTTACTAATCATTTACTTCATGTATGTTGTAATAGGTTGCTGGTCAATCAGACATTTTGAGCAACCCTCAGCCCACGTACCTTGGCAATTCATGTTTACTCTAATGGATATTTACATGTTGGAGGTCACAAAGATTAAATGAAACAAACACGCACAAAATAAAAATTAGCAAAAATATCAATATACGTATACAGGTTTAAAAGGGTAGGTGGTCCTATCAAATTTTGGTCCTACTCTCTATTGATTTATATGGTGACCTAATAAAAATTATTTTCCTTATTATCTATACGCAGTCAGGACCAGTAAGGGCCGTAAGGAAAGGGGACTATAATCCCCAGGGGACCATAATACTAGAACAAACATTTTAATTCAAACCTGGATCATTCAAACATACATCAGTCTGAGTCTACATACAGACCTGCCAACCTAAAATGAAAAATTCCCGGTAGATCTTTTTAGAAATATCGGTACTATCGGTAATCTGTCTGGTAGTGTGTTTTTTTTCTTTTAAATAGTCTTTATTCAGCTTTTGGTTATTTTATATAACATAATCAATTACATAAAATAAATAATTCATACAATTTTCATTTTAATAGTTTTGATACAAAATTCCACTTTGAACAATAAAATACGTTTTTCTATAATTGATTTCATATTTTATCAATGAAATCATGCTTTCAAATGTTCTTTGTTTTTTAGTGTTCAATTCTAAAATATATGATTTATAAATACTGTAACAATGCTGATAAAATAATTTAAAAAATGTGTATGTGAGTCTTGGCCATTATAAACCAATTATAATTTTTCTGTAAGAAATGTTGAAGCCACATGTTTTATGTATCAGTGCCCATATATCTTTTGCTAAGGAATATTCAAAATTATTATATACCTCAAATGTATTCTAGATGCTCATTGGCTTATTCATGGTCACATGACATGGAATAGATGAACTAATTCCCTGGAAAGTCCTAAATCCCTGCTTTCAAGGAAGATGAATTGTACTAATCACCAGTTAGGTCATGTGACCAGTCAATAGTACATTTTATCTTCCCCCAAATCTGAGATTATAGGAGTTGAAACGTAAAATGCCTTTAAATGCCAATAAGAACCTGTGAACATTTGATATTGAAATGAAAAGACTTCTCATTTTGTTTTTGTTTACAGAGTACTTATCAGGTATATAATAAAACAAATAGTGACTGCCACATTTTCGGGAAATAGTGTAAAAATTTTCCTCTCGGGAATATCCTGTCCACTGACTTGTTCCCTCGGCCTGCAGCCATTGGGAACATGTCAGTGTACAGGATATTCCCTTGAGGAAAATATTTTGCACTATTTCCCTCAATGGCAGTCACTATTTGTACAATAATATGTTTCGAGTCACATAAATTATTGCAAATACTACAATAATGATTATCTGTTATCCCATAGAGAAATAAGTCAGTTAATCCAGGAAGAATATTGTTAATTATTTTGAAATTAAAATTGGCATTTTTTTGTCTTTAACTTTCATTATCTTGCTCGTAAAAAAATTAGCCAATTTATTTCATCTATTTTACCTCCATTTGTTATACAAAAATCTCTTTCCCATTTCTTGTAGGTAAACCATTTTTCAGATTTTTATTATTCAGTATTGTATAAAAGTGTTTTGTGTAGTGTTTTTTTAAAGTTGATACCTTTGTTCCAGTAGTTTTTGCAGAAGATTTTGAAAACTGTAGTTTTTGCGGGAGCTCCGTGAAAAATAGTAGTTTGCGGTAAATTAAAAAATGTAGTTTTTTTGGAATATTACTTTTTATAAAAGGTGTTTTTGAGAAAGAATGAGGTAGGTATCTTCATGATCTTAGGATAATATTATGAGGTTATATAATGGTTCTTTCTGTATATCGTGTTTATACTCGAGTGAGTATATGATATATTCACAAGTGAGCGCAGCGAACGAGTGAATATATCATATTCTCACGAGAGTATAGAATGCACGATATACAAAATGAACCATTATATAATCTTATTATGTCACTCTAAGTTCAATTACAGTTGATTCGAACACAATCATAACAATTAAAAATTCATTAGTTCATTATTCATTAGTTCCCAGAATGCACTTCTACAGTGGTATACGCTGGAGTGTATACGGAGGAGTTGTATACGATGATGATATACCACTCTCCACTGTATATCGTTGTTATAGACCCATGTTATACAACTGCAATTGGACTTAGAGTGGTATAAGAGTAAATATATAACTTATGCCGTATCATTGTTCCAGGGGAAACATATCCACGCATTTGTAAGCTGCCCAGAGGTGACAAGAACATGTAGAGTGATACAGCACAAAAATGGTACATAACAAGCACTTTCTTTACTCTTTCTTGTGTTAATTTTTCAGTATCTAACTCTTCTTAAAAAATCAAGAGCCGATGGTAAGAAACTTTATGATCGACCCTTGTACCTAAATGTATACTACTGTACCTATAATCTGAGAATCTAATAGAATGGAAATGTCAACGATTATACTGGAATACCAGTTGGTTGATTGTTGATAAGTATAAACATCACTATTCCATTATCAATGTCTTCAGAAGAAGCTTCTCTCTTGAATCAATGTACTCCCTCTGTCCTCATATGGTCACTGCACCCAATGCGTTGAGAGGTGTTTGCATGAATAGGTTCAGGACCATACAATTTCCCACATTTTGATACATTTCAGGGAACTGTTCAAATGTGGGTTTAAACTTTGTGGTATGTAGATCAAATGATAAACCCCCCCCCCCCCATCCCCTCTTGTTATGCACAGCATAAATATCATTCATTACAAGGGTCTACAACCAAAAATATTGAACTTTCTTTTATTTAATAAAATTTTCAGAAAAACCCTTGGTGACTTCAGGGCTGAAAGGGTTCAAGATAATGAAAACGACCAAGTCTTCCTTCACTAACTTCCACAAAGATGAATATAGAAGTCTTCCAGATATGGAAGATAGAATATTCTGTACAGTTGTAGACGCAACTTGGACGTATAGCAGCTTACGGTCGCTGGACTTTGATTGGGCATGGTAAGACTAAAGAGGATATTTCATGCTCATGGGGTATATGCCCTCGTTGTATATTTGCCCTCTTCAATTCAGTCATGATGGCAAACAATTCATTGTTGTTGAGATATTGTAGGGATATCCTATTGTTTCGAAAAATATCGTTTATATCCAGGAGTGGATATCGATATCTTCACAATTGAGCGCAGCCAATGAGTGAAGATATTGATATCCATGAGTGGATACATAGAGATTATCCTATATGAGGCTCAGGATATTGGGATTATCCCGAGGCCAATATGATATATTTGCCCGAGGGCCGCAGGTCCCGAGGGAAAATATATTATATTGGCCAAGGGATAATCCTAATATCCTGAACCGACTATAGGATAATATGTTTATCCCATACCAATCTTGGTCATCTGGTTCACATTGTTCAATCGTGGAAATATTTTAGAATATTCATATCCAGTTTTGTTTTCTTGGCCGTGGGCGGGTTTTCCTGTTCCCTCAAATATTCCCACATTTATTATCTCGAATTTTTGATTGATTAAGTGGATGCTCCTTCCCTTTTTTAAACCATCAAACAGATCCCGATTGTCTGTGTTCTCACCATACAGTCATAACGCGAACGTTACAAATTATGAACAAATATGCGAGCGGCGATTATGACGTAGCGGGCAGATATACTATATCTGCCCGCTCAGAGCGGGACGTATAGCTATATCTGCCCGCTGATGAAAATATAAGTTTTTACAAACCGGCTTTATGTACCTGTAACACGTCCAAGTATGGGATAAAGTTGATTATTATTGTTGAAAAACCATAGGATCATTGGGATAAGGTAACGTGGGCAAGGTACAGGGTGAGCCAAAAATGTAAGCCAAACAAAAGCTCAGGCATTCAGCATGGGTTTAAATTCATATATCGCACAAGTAAACCTTATTCAATATTCTTTCATTCTACTAAGATTCATTGGTCTATTCCCAGTGGTCATTTAGCCCCAAAGATGAGAGTCTGGGGGGGGGTTCTTGAGAAAAGGCTGGCATTTGGAGCATGTTTTGTAAAATGGCCATAAGATCGTTACCATTGGCTTTAATTCTGCCAAATATGATTTCAAACCCATGCTGAATGAATTTTTGGCTCACCCTGTATTCCATAATCATTTGGAATGTCCTCAACTGACACATTAATGGTAATGGGTTGGGTTTTCTACATGATCATGAGAAAAAATATTTATCACCGCATCTATAGTTTCACATTTTAACACATGTATTTTTTTTTTTTTTGTAATTTCTTCATTTAGAACATTGGATGTTTTAGGAATACAATAAAATGGTATAGGGATATAATAAAATGTTTCAGGAATACAATAAAGCAATGTGGTTATAGGAAAATAATAAAATCTTTTAGGAATACAATAAAGCAATGTGTGGAGGAGACATTTGCAGGGTGTCCTAAAGAAGGTAGCAATTCACCATCAGTTCAGAATACACTTTATCTCACACAAAAGCAGGTCCTTGCCAAAGTTCCACAGGTAAATATGCCTCCCTTTTAAAATTACACAATACAATACATAATAAATTTACATAAGTTGATAACAAAGATTTTGCAAACAAGATTGTCACAATTTACCATATCGGAATGCCTTTCATTACCAAATAAAGGCATCCAACTTTCAAAGATCATAATTGCCAAGTTGGAAAAGTGACTGCAGATATGGCACGGAATTGAGGAAACTGTTAATTTCTGCCCCTGTTCTGAATCAGCTACCCTCTCTGCCCTCTAACTATGTCAAATGATTTACAATTTTGAAAGAACGAGACAGAAAACATGGTTGGCAGTTTATTTATCCACTATGTTTGATAGTGATGACTGAGGGCTCTATTGCCAGGGTACTCCAGTATCACATAGAATTTAGATAACAAAATATTATAGTTATAAAAATAGATATTGTACATTAAAACTGTCTGCTGAAATCAAGATAATCTTGATAATATTTTGCAGGAAATTTAAATATTTAAAAATGCATCGTTTAATGCCTTAATTTAGTACTTTAAATCATATCACATACATGTATGCTTTTATAGTGTTTCTAATGCTATTTGGCCTTTTCCTGTTTGTTACTTGTGTTTATTACTGAACACATGTGTGCTTATGACTAAACACATGTGTGCTTATGACTAAACACATGTGTGCTTATGACTAAACGCACGTGTGCTTATGACTAAACACATGTGTGCTTATGACTAAACACACGTGTGCTTATGACTAAACGCATGTGTGCTTATGACTAAACACATGTGTGCTTATGACTAAACACATATGTGCTTATGATTAAACACATGTGTGCTTATGATTAAACACATGTGTGCTTATGATTAAACACATGTGTGCTTATGACTAAACACATGTGTGCTTATGACTAAACACATGCAATATAATATGAAATGGTACTCAGATGGATGAAAAATTCAATATTATTTCTGCACACAGGTACAGTATATAGTACCAACTCTCTGTTGCAGTCTCATGTTCATCAAATATATATCATTTTATTCATTATTATGAACTGTTTGGGATCTAGGTTGATGAGATGACAATAGCCCTGCCCAATGTCCATGCTTATCCATTTGATTTCTCCAAGCTGCCACAACTCAATATAAAGGAAAACAATGAGGTAGGAGCAAGAATGTATTATACATACATGTAGTCTTAGAATTAGTCCCATTTTTATGTCACCACCAAAAGTGGTGACATATTGTTATGGTCTCCGTTTTTTTGCGACGGCGGTTGGCGTCCGGCGGTTGGCGTCTGTAACAATTTCTTACAACTTCCTATAACTTAACAAATACTGTTTAGACTGACTTCAATTTTTTTCTAAATCATCTACATGTTCTCAGAAGTTCAAATCTGACTTAAGATTTGACATTTGACCTTCAATGACCTTCTCAAGGTCAAAAAGGTCTTTTTTCAACTTTTTTCAACTTGCTTCACATTGACTAAATTTTTTTTCAAAATCATCTACATGTTCTCAGAAATTCAAATCTGACTTTAGATTTGACATTTGACCTTCAAATCTGACTTTAGATTTGACATTTGACCTTCAATGACCTTCTCAAGGTCAAAAAAAGTCAAAAAGGTCTGTTTTCAACTTGCTTCAAATTGACTAAATTCTTTTTTCAAAATCATCTACGTGTTCTCAGAAATTCAAATCTGACTTTAGATTTGACTTAAGATTTGACATTTGACCTTCAATGACCTTCTCAAAGTCAAAAAAGGTCAAAAAGGTCTTTTTTCAACTTGCTTCAAATTGACTAAATTTTTTTTTCAAAATCATCTACATGTTCTCAGAAATTCAAATCTGACTTTAGATTTGACATTTGACCTTCAATGACCTTCTCAATGTCAAAAAAGGTCAAAAAGGTATTTTTTCATCTTGCTTCAAATTGACTAAATTTTTGTTTCAAAATCATCTACATGTTCTCAGAAATTCAAATATGACTTTAGATTTGACTTTAGATTTGACATTTGACCTTCAATGACCTTCTCAAAGTCAAAAAAGGTCAAAAAGGTCTTTTTTCAACTTGCTTCAAATTGACTAAATTTTTTTTTTCAAAATCATCTACATGTTCTCAGAAATTCAAATCTGACTTTAGATTTGACATTTGACCTCAATGACCTTCTCAATGTCAAAAAAGGTCAAAAAGGTATTTTTTCATCTTGCTTCAAATTGACTAAATTTTTTTTTCAAAATCATCTACATGTTCTCAGAAATTCAAATATGACTTTAGATTTGACATTTGACCTTCAATGACCTTCTCAAGGTCAAAAAAGGTCAAAAAGGTCTGTTTTCAACTTGCTTTAAATTGACCAAATTGTTTTAGGTGGTGACATTTTGTCATGTTAATGCCTTGTTTCATTTACAGTCAGGCTACTTGGAAATAAAATATATTAAGAACATTTCTGAGTTGCATCTTTAAAAGGTATGAGGAAATAGAGAGGCTAAACTTGTTCTGTTTTAGCCATTTTAGATTTATTGTTTAACTTTCGTAGTTATCTCTGATTATGAAAAAGCGCAAAGGGTAACATTTGAAATAAAGACCAAAAACCCCTTTAAATCATATGTGCAATATCATGATGATAACCATGATGATTTTTAACCATTTCGTTTGGGTATGCATGTATTTATCATGCACCTAAGGTCAACATAAGAGATCATTGCTTGACCGCTCATTCCCCTTTAACATCATACAGCACAGAGTCTACCTTACTTACATAATTGATTACTCATTGAGTTATAAGATACCTGACTATCAAAGCAGTTTCTATTCCCAACATCTTTCAATGTTGCGCTTGTGCCAAACATAATAGACATTATCATGCCACTCTCAAGTGACACAATCAATATTAATTGACTAATTCAAGACTTGGCCCTAGCTCACCTTTTGATAAGTCACTGGGGCCATAAGGACATTGGAAAGTAATGCTAAAATTATGCAACCTGTCCTCAAGCTTGATGATAGCTGAAGAAATATTATATCAGATTTTAATAGTGCAAATATGAGATAAATGGAAACAGATACACCAAAATGTAGCAAATCCCTTCAAATGTCAGAAACAACATTGCTAAGATTCATGTTTCAGTATGACTACCATAGATGTATTGCTAAAAGAACAAAACAAGATATTTACAAATTTGCTCCACTACTCTTCCAGATGTTGCAAAAATAACACATACATATTTTGGGAAAAACTGCCTATTAGCAAAATTGTCATCAGATAATGTAACATGCTTCCAAGTATGCACTTATAAAATTTCAACAAAATTGCTTTTCCTGTTATGGCAAAAAAACATATAACACAGATATATGGCTGCCATTTTTTTCAAAATGGCCATCTATTAACCATATTGTCAAAAGGCTTGCTTCTAAGAAGTCACATATCAAAAATTGTCAAAATGTCAATAGAAATAGAAATATGCTTTAAAATATACACATATAAAATTTCAAAAAAAGGTAAAATAACACACATACAAATTGCTATCATCTTCTTTTGATGGGATAAACATCTAAAGCAACTGGCTTTACACTTTAAAGGGATGGTATGGACTTGTATTTAGAGTTTATCTTAAATGAGGAGTAATTTTCAAATATTTCTCCATTCAAGACATTAACTGGGTGTGTAATTTCAGGTGTTCGTGCCCTATGATAAACCATCAGGCAATATAACAGCTGCTCTCAAACGAAGGCATATCTCCAAGCTTTAGGGAAGATTTGGCTGCAATGACAAATTCTCTTCTGGCGGCACGTAGAGCTCTAGCAATAATACTGCAGATTCTACATAACGACTATGCCCGAGGCCTATGTTCGCTAATATATTGATCCTAACTATACAAATGGACCATATTTCCTTAACTATATTTATTTTTTATGTTCTTCTCACCACATATTTGTGATGAAATGTACATTTTAATATAACAAGATTTCTAAAACACTGTCCCAGGTTTATGAGAGATGTTAACTGACAGATACCATTAAATACAGCTATGTCATGTAAAATGCAATAAGATAGATTCTTGAAACTACGTCTTTTACTCTATCTTAATTCAATTGAATTATCATAAGATGATTATTATCTCTGTCAGTACAGTACAAGAAATTTTCATACAATTGGACTTGATTTAACATTCTACAAAAAAGAAAATGTCACATGTACATATTCCATTCCATTGCAAGGAGGATTGGCTCCCAGGATCGAAACTCGATATTTTCCAACAATGAAAACGTCGAAATGTCGTTATTTTCTGAAATTAAAACCGACTATAAATTCAAAATAAACAGTTCAAAAGATTCGAACCAATATCTCGATCGTTTCTTGTGAGTTTTGGAATTTTTCGTTTGGAAATAAGACCAAAATTCACGATTTAAATGTTGAAGTGAACAAAATGGCGGCTGTTTGAATTCGAATTTTGTATTACGACATACCCATATATGGGACAGAATATCGGTGGTGCACTCTGGGAGCCAATCCTCCTTGATTCCATTGTGTCATTATCAGTAAGAAGAATGGGGATTTTCTTGGTGTAATATTTTTGTTTTATTTTTTTAATTTTTGAAAAATTGGAACCAAATTAATTACCTAGATGCTAATATTTACTTACCAATTTCACCACCATGTGGCTTACACATGTCTGAAAACATGGCAGACATAAGAAAGGTCTCCTAAACTTAAATTATAGATATTAGATTTAGTGAATCAATCTTGAATGAAACCTTTATGGTTTTGTGTTTTGCCATTTTGGGTTATGCCACATGTTGAGTGAAAGAAAAAATGATTATCTGTTAAATGCAGCTGAAGATATTTCCCTTTTCATATGATTTAAGAATGATTATAAAACACTGTGGACTGTTGATTCATATGAATGTACAAAATATTTTAGTTATAAGTTTACAATAAGTTGTGTAATTGATACACCTGCTAGTGTTCTTTCAACCGAAAATAAAACATATAAACATTATTTTATTTATTACATCATCTATTTTTCTGTGTTGTTTATATTGTATAACTCAATTAAGAGATACTCCAAATCTGAGTACAATAAAACATGTATAATTGGAACACCTTTGGTACTATTTGGGAGGTGCTCCACTTGCACTTACAGAGCTTTATTCAACATCAGTCAGTTGGTCATGAGACTCCGAAGTCTTCAATATATGGAAGTGGTCCACTTTCAGGTGTTTTACTTTATAGGTTTTAGTGTAATTTATTAAAACATTTGCTTTCAATTGAAACCATTTCAATGATGAGATATTCTAAGCATCAAATCCATCAACAATTCCGTTAATATATTCAACCAATCAATTACTTGTATACCCAATGGATGGTAATTCTAACATGGATTTTTATGAAGTGTGCTTCAATATCACAAAACTTATGACGTATCAATTGATCCTTGGATATCACAAAAATTATTATTGTGTAATGTTGCATGTCATACATTTGTTATGTTACAGACAAATAACATGATAGTAAATGTAATTGCAAGATTGATACATGATAGTAAATGTAATTGCAAGATTGATACATGATAGTAAATGTAATTGCAAGATTGATACATGATAGTAAATGTAATTGCAAGATTGATTGCATACTTTTACCACAGAACTATAATAAATTTCTCTTGGGTGTTGATAGCTTTGTATCTCATTTAGATCTAATCAATGTGTGCATTATAAATAATATATGAAAATTGTCATGGTAAAAGTCTTGCCTGGTTGGATTTTATTTTACTAAAGTAAACAACAGAGCTACAACAAAAAATATTTTGTTTCAAAATACAGCAAGGAATATCTAAAACTAAATAAAGTTAACTTTTAGGAACAATGCATAGTTTAGCAGTTATTATTTGGCTTAAGTGTCTCTACATCACACTGTTTTGTAATAAAGCAAGTGCAGAGAAAAAAGTTGTATTCAATAATATTGGATATTCAACCAAATATTACCATCAGATTGGTTACAGCTATCGGAAATCCCCAATGAAGACATTAGTAATGTCAATGGCTGCCTATGACATGGAAATAGCTTCGGTGCAATGTTTGTCCACTTGTCAGAAAGAGGCCAATGCAGGTATTAATTCAAGTTGCGTTGCTGTCAATTTCCACACAGAAAATGGAACATGTGAACTGTTTCATGACCAGCCTGTTTATAGGTATAATAAACATGTGATACCTGACGACAACTGGACACTGTACATGGAGGAAGCTTTGAAGTACCCACGTGATTGTGAAGATATCACAATAGACACCAGAAAGGAATACTATGATATCCAGCCTGACATGAGTAAACCACCATTTTCTGTGATGTGTGGAGACAAAAGTACAACAAAAAGATACTCTACCTTTATTCAAAGTCACAAAATAAATAGCGAATTCGATTTTCAGAATGCCACCTGGTCTGATTATCGAAATGGCTTCAAAAACAACAACGCTGGCCAATCATACTACTGGATAGGCAATGAAAATCTTCATACATTAACAAGCAGTCATAACTATTCCATTAAATTCTCCTGTCTTGAAAGTGAAGAGGGCAAGAGGAACATTAGTGACAGACACCGATATATATTCTATGACAGTTTTTCAATCGGTAGTGAAGAAGACTTTTACAGGTTAAATATTGGCAAGGTACGCGAAAAAGATGACGACATTGAAGATGCGATTTGGGGTACAGCCATTGAGGAACACATAAATGGATCAAAATTTATGACATATGAAAATGTGACAGAAAACCCATGTGCACGGCAAGGTGGCTGGTGGTACAACAACTGTACTTATGCTAATCTTAACACAGCCAATAATGATATATTTTGGGGAAGCTTGAAGTGTCATCATAGTAGAATAAAATTATATCGTATATGGAACTGAGCTGCCTCTACTCTGGTAATCAATAATAGACAGTCGTAAGGACTGAACTTCATTAGTAGCACAAACATTGACTTTTAATATACAGTAAAACCTGTGTATATTGAACATTTTTTATGGAGAGGAAAAATGTTCAGTGTGGGTATGTCTTCAATACAGAGAGGGTAATTTGTACGGAAGTCAGTAGAGTATGTGTGGAGGTAGTGTGTCTACTAGAGACAGGTGTCCACTAGAGACAGGTGATCACTGAGACAGGTGTTCACTGAGACAGCTTTTTCTGTACTGTGTAAGATTGCATTTATTCTATTAGCTCATATGTAATGCACAGGAAACACATCATTTGACACCTGGTTTTTTCAACCTTATTAGTTAATCATCTCATACTGTAAACTGTACAAACTATTTTATTTTATAATTTTATTTTCAATGCTGTATTAGAATAATAAAACATAAAATATTGCACAAAGCCACTAAGGAATGTTGATGTTATATTACTGTCAATAATCAGATGAATCCCTTCTTTACTAACACCAATCTAAAGCATGTAGTCTTTCACTTCAATGTACTCTTGTTTAACAAGTATAAGATCATGAATTCAGAAACAAAAGGTGACAAAATATTTCCAAAATCCCCCTGGTATAATAGCATTATAGTGGGATACATTTTATTTACATACAAGTGTCCATTTTAATTAGTTGGACTACTCTCAATACCTGGGTATAGTTCATTTGGCAACTTCCGTATTTTATTTAATTGATCGCGAAATCCTGTGTGAATTTCCTTGTTGGCCTATAATTTGAATGTTGAATAAATGGAGATCACATAAAGATCGATTTTTTCAAATCCTCGTAAAATAGTTCCAGTGTATGTATTCATCATGGAGGTCCAGGATTGGGTGGCTCCAGTAACGCCTTACGCTTCGCAGTTTCCTTAGACACATTGTGATGTAATTTTCCTAGGCGCTCCTGAAATAAATATTCTTCTTTAAATATTATCTATAATGAAAGTACATACAATACTGAATGGTATAACATGGAAATAGTGGTTGTGGGAATTATTCATTATAATAGTCAACAAGAACACAAATGTGTACAAAATGTCCCCACCAATGGGTGATCCCATCAAATGGTTCACCTGAAAATGAGTAGACAAGACTTTACTGACACAATTTGAGGACGGAAAATCCAAAATGGCCGCCTTAAAATTTACCCAGAATCTCCAAAAATTAGCTAGTTATAGATTTTTATACTAAGAACCACCCCTGAAAATTTGAAATTGATCCGTCAAACAGTTAAACAAGACTTTACAGACAAGATTTTAGGATGGAAAATCCAAAATGGCTACCTTGACATTTACCCAGAATGTCAAAAAACTAATCAGATCTAGGTTTTCATACTAAGAATCATCCCTGAAAATTTGAAATTGATCTACCAAACGGTTCACCTGAAAACGCGTAGACAAGACTTTACAGACAAGATTTTAGGACAGAAAATCCAAAATGGCTGCCTTGAGATTTACCCAGAATGCCAAAAAACTAATCAGATCTAGGTTTTCATACTAAGAATCATCCCTGAAAATTTGAAATTGATCAAACGGTTCACCTGGAAATGCGTAGACAAGACTTTACAGACAAGATTTTAGGATGGAAAATCCAAAATGGCTGCCTTGACATTTACCCAGAACGCCAAAAAAACTAATCAGATCTAGATTTTCATACTAAGAATCATCCCTGAAAATTTGAAATTGATCTACCAAACGGTTCACCTGGAAATGCGTAGACAAGACTTTACAGACGAGATTTTAGGACGGAAAATCCAAAATGGCTGCCTTTACATTTACCCAGAACGCCAAAAAACTAATCAAATTTGAAATTGATCTACCAAATGGTTCACCTGAAAACGTGTAGACAAGACTTTACAGACAAGATTTTAGGACGGAAAAAACCAAAATGGCCGACAATAAAAAAGTGATTATGAGTTTTTGCTGATTTCCTTTTACAAAATTATCACATATAACTACTGTTAACAATAACATAGGCTTTTTCAACAAAGTACACCTGATATTATTTATAAAGCTACTAAATAGTTAAAGTATGAAAACTCAAAAACACCATTCAATATGATACAAAGTATTATCGCGCGCTAACTTTTCTTCAGACATTCAAAATGGCTGACATGACTGAGCTAACAGGTCCAAAACCTAATCAGATGTAGAATGAAGTGAGCTGAACAAGATTTTTAAGTTTTAAAAGCAACTGTGAAGCCGTTTTTCTTAAAGTTTGCAGACAAGGATTTTAGCATTTCACCTCAAAATGGCCGACAGGAAGTAGCTATCGAATTAGTTTTTTTTCATCCACATCTGTATGCACTCACAAGTTATTCCTGAAAATTTGAAGGTGATATCTGTAGCGGTTTTGGAGAAAACTGCCGGACGTACAGATGGACAGACAGACAACCAGACGGACAGACAGACAGACGAACGCGCCTAGGACGACAATATGGCCCCACACTATGTGGTGGGGACATAAAAAGCATTTAGACCTATTGTACTGCCATCTTTATAAACATCCACAACCATTTTTCAATTATCAAATTAAATATTTTCTTCATCTAATGTAATGAACACATCTGTGTTCTTTTCATTTAAACCCAATTTACAAAATAAAAGCAATGAATGAACAAGCATTACAAAAACAATTTGACAGCAGAAATATGAAGAACTTCTAAAATGGCTGCCAGAAAACAAAATGGACTTTCAAGAGAAAGCACACGATCAGCTGTGGAACTAAGTCCCCTCTAACAAGAGTACATTTGAGGAAAATCTGAAATCTGATTTTCCTGGAATCACAAAAAACGGGACATCATCCAAATCATATCAATATCATGATGCCTATATCCCACTGGTGGTGTGATAAAAACAAACAATCAAATGTGATCACATGACACATACCTGTGCATTTTGCAGGATATTATTAACTAGCATGACACGTCTTCTTGCATTGTTTAATTTCTTCACGTAACTATCAAGCTCAACAGGGATACTCTGGTTCTGTGATATTCTCTTCAAATCTGAAAATAGGTTTCAATTCATGATAGGAACTATACAAACATGTACTTAGATCAAGTAGTTAAAAGCAAGATTATTTGTTTTTCATTTGTACTTAGAGTACTCATGAGAGAATAAAACAAGCCATAAAGCATGCAAAATGTCACCACCTGCCATTTGTTACAAACGCTGAAAGCCAAACACCAACCACTGAATGCCTAACTGCTCACCAAAAATTTGGAGACTATAAAAACATGTAAAGAAAAAGAAATAATTGAAAAAATGCAAGGTAATAGGATGAAAAGTATATTAGGAAAAAAGAAAAACTGGGGAAAAATATGACAAAATTGGCTAAACCGAAGAAAATTGAATTTTGAAAATGATCAGGCAAAGTGAAGAGTAAGAGTTGAATGTGATAGGTGTATGTGATACAGGGATATTATACCACAATTAAAATGGTTAAAATTCTAATGATAGGTAAATGCTTGTATTATATGTACTCACCTTCAGCAAGTGCATCAATTTGCTGTCGTAGTTCTATCTGGCTCTGTCTGAAAAGAACAAAAGTATTAAATCATAAAACACAATTCAATTAATCAATACCATAATCCATTTACAAATCCATGGGTCTGAATTGCTCCCTCTGAAACTGTAAGTGCTTGTAAGTTTTAATACAAGCACATTGTGATCCTGACCATGTAAATGATATGTGGAGTAAACTGACTGGAGGTCAAAACAGAACTGTTATCTCGGTTCAAAAAATGTCAAAAAATCCAGCATGTTTTTGTCACTCCCTGTTTTGTCATTTCCTGTTAAGTACTATGAGACCTCAACAGAATATTAGGGGAAGTTTGATGCATCTCCCGTATTCAATGCGCTCAATGCCATTGTTTGTCTTTTGATTTGACCAACCGGCAATGATGTCTTCTCAATACACATTTACATTAGAGGCATATGTCTTCTTTGAACCCTGCAATTATTCGTTCTCTTGATGAATCTGATATTTGGCAATAGAAGTCCATGTGAACCTGTATCAACACCCTGGCAGTGACATCTATTGGTGAAAACCCCTAGAAATAAGCCTTTTATCTCTTAAAAGGCTTATTCTGGTGAAAAAACTTGAACAGGAATGCACTTTAACAGGTATGACAACACACAACCTTTATTGTAAACCATTTGTTGGGAATATACACTTTTTTAGTGTCATCCACTCATATATTTGTGTGTAGAGTCCATTTCACTGTTTTATTGCGTCAGTAGAACCCCAAAAAATAAGAAATCGGGAGACCATTGTGAAATAATATATGGAAAAGTATATTCATATTGTATATGAATGACGTTTGCAGGGCACGCCTTAAGCGTTGGACAGCTGGTCATTATCTGGTTACTTTTGATACTGACCAGTTGATTTTTTCACTAGGTATAGGAAAATAACATTGCAACTGGTCAGTAATGCCTTTTTGACCAGCAGCTCTGGAATCCTTAGGGCATACACTGGACGTTTGTATATTTCAGATTTTGTAGTTTTTTGTGCAATAAGCCTGTGCCCTCTTGTAATTTGAATAATTTCAGCCATGTTAATCTTATTGAAAATAACATGGCAGAGACGCATCCAAATATAAGAAACCACACACTCCATAGGCCAAACTAGAAGCAATCCAAGATATAAAAATGTCATCCATGTACAAAAGGAATATATTTTCCCATATATTATTGTATAATGATATTTTGATTTCTTATTACATATGTAGGTTTTACTCACCAATTTAAACTATGAAATGGACTCTAGATTCTATTTCGTGGCCTGACTGCATTGGTAGAACTTGAAAAATAAGATTTACCTGAAGATTTGGAGTCTTACATATCCTCTAGAGGTTAGGACACACATTTTAATGAAACCATATCAGCTATGTTTTGTTCATGATGAAGCATAAGCACAGTACTTGATTGAAATTTGTGTTAATCCTTTTTGGACATTTTCCTTGTGTTTACTTCCGGGACGGCGCTGCTCCTATCACGAAACAATGCATTGACCTTGAACTTTAATTTTGTGACATGTCATCCAACCATGTCTGGTGTTAAAATAATTAAAATATTAGAAAATAATGTTTTGCTGTCTTTTGTGTAAAATAGATTTGTTTCCGGTAAGAGGGAATTTCAAAAATTTCGGACAATATTTTCAATATTTACTGCCATGTCGACATCCTATGCTCTTAACTGTATACCGAATGGTTAAACAATGTTTCTTACCGGAAACAAATCCATTTAAACACGGAAGTGACGTAACGAAATACCAAGTTCGTGCTATTACGGAAAAGTTCGGGAAATTCCGTTATAACCGCCATCTTAATCGAACTTCGACCAAAAGAGCCATAAGAAACAAAAAGACCTCGTTCTGCCAACTAACCCAGACAATCGGCGGTTCCAATATATTAGAAGTTACATTTTGAGTTCTAGAATGCATTGAGGTAGGTTTCTTAAGTGGAAAGGGCGTAGATAATTCTCCCAAGTTGTAATCGTACAGGCAAATGTATGCGCTCAGTACAGGACTATAGTCATGGAACGGGATAACTTAGATCTACTAGGAAATCATTTATTTTCATGGTCCATAATTTACCTCGTGGATATTGTGCTAAATGCTCTATAGTTGACGCAACACAGGTGATAGGGTTTCATTGAAATGTGTGTTCTAACCTCTAGAGGGTAAGTAAGACTCCTAATCATCAGGTAAATCTTATTATTCAAGTTCTACAGTGCTGGTATATATTAATTGATCAGTTGTTTAATTGGCATATTTTCTTGAATTTTAACATTTAATGTCCCAAACTCCCACAAACTGCAGAAAAGTATACACCATAAATCATATTTACCAAAATTAGTGTCTCCAAGGCTTCACACCAGCGTATGCATTATGCATTTGTCACGAGTTTGAGCTGAAATTTCCCCAAAATGAAGTAGGCTAAGGGTAGTCTCTGCCAGTTTTGTTTATTGTGGTAAGCTTGTAAGTGCTCAGAAGCAAATAATTCACGTGCGCAAAAAAATCAAATAATATGATTGGTTTAAACTTTGCTGCACATGCGTACAATGTGTGCCATATTTTTTCTAGTGATTTCGTTTCGTTTCATGGAGTTTCCGTTTCAGTGTAACTTCCGCAAAAATGGCTGAGCATGGACAAAATCACTTCGAAATTTCAAGAGAACTTTTTACCTATAATAGCAAAACTTTTGTTTTATTTGTGCATTCTATCTATCAGATAAGAGTCTCAGGGGTATGTAGGCAAATTCATTTTGGTAGGAGCACTCTGTTTAGTTTGAATACGCACCCTTAATTATTATATATCAGCACTGTACCAACGCAGTCAGTCCACGAAATAGACTCTATCTAAAAGGAAATAAACATAAACAAAACATAAACAAAAATAAGCCTTTTATCTCTTCAAAGGCTTATCTCTATGTTTTTCTTTCAACAACAGATGTCATCGTCAGATTCAGTCCCTGTGGTAAAGGATATAAAAATTTGATGGTCTATTATCACCCACCAATTTTTCTAAATATTATAAATCATTCCAAACTTACCTTACTCCTTGCACTCTTTGATCCACTTCCTCGACTGCAGGGACAAGTAAACCTATTAGTCCCTCGGCCACCGCGTCCCTGGTTGTATTAGTCACTGCACTTTCCATATGAAGAACTTTTTATAATTTTCTATTCTACTTCCTTTCTTTCTAATCAGGTTTATATTGATCAATCGATATTAGAAATGTAGCGTAATAATACAAACGTTTAATATAAAGTTCTGGTATCGTGTGTGCACTGCTTCTATTTATTTGAATACTTCAAAACAGATACTCTGATTGGCAAAAGTATAGGCATTCATATAAATATAGATTAGTTATTAATTATTGAATAATAAGTTAGACCTGAAAAACTTTTTAGGGACTGGTCATTTTGTGTTAAAAACTTTTGAAGACAAGTCATTCTGTATTGAAAACTCAAGGAAAATACATTTAGGTTAATAAGTTCTTCTATGCCATCTAGTAGAATTTATTGAAAACTTCAAGCTTGTCTTGAAAATGAAATTAGTTAAGAATGAAAGGCAACAGCCCCTATTTTGATATTTTCAAAGGATAAATGGTGTCTTTACTATCTTTACTCTTTACAGCAAGGGTTTGTTATGAAGGAAAAAGATAACTTGAATTGCACAAAATATGCAATATTTTAGGTCCCCTTGACTCAGTAATAATACATGTATATTTATTCTATGGATACGAAATATTTATGATGATATTTGTAAGCAGCAAAAATGATTTTGATATGCACTACTATAGTAACATTTGACTGATATCCAATAGAACAGAGATAGCAATATTTGAAATCCATAGGATAAACATGATATCCTTGGACTTTCTCAGGCTACCATTTTTTATCTAATTGTGGATATCACCCATCTCACTCATTTTGCAATGCTCACTCCTGTAGATGGTGGATATCCACTCATGGATAAAAGTGATATCCATAAAAAATCATACTACATGTATATCCTCTGTATACTTGTGTAATTATTAGTCTATTAGTTAATCTCACAATCTGATATCATGGAAAAGTAAATCACATTCTGTAATTTTAAAGAATACTAAGTATAAAGCATTGGTGATAGATACAATAAGTAACAAAACAATGACTCATAATATTAAGTAATTATTAATCTTTATTTTATAAATAGGCTATGATTTTAATCATACAAATAAAAATTCAGGATAACGTATGTAATTAATTGACAATTAAAATATACATACACTTTCTAGTTTCTACTAGTGTATAAAACATACCCATATACATTTATGTCTATATGTATATGTATCTATACATGTACATCTGAGAAACAATCTCAATACATGTACTGTACTAACCTAATAGCTGTACATTTATGACATAATTTCTTACATCTACTGGTATGTTATGTAAAGGATAATGAATACAAATGGTTAAAACAATAACTTGTGGAATTAAAATGGCTAAATGCAGTGACAAAAACATTTAGTAATAAATCATTAAAATGGGAGAAATATAATCTCAATGCTGAAGTCAGCACATTAAAATAGCTGATATGAGGAGGTACGCTAAAAAGGATGGATTTTCTAAAATAAAACTAGTAAATCAAATTTGAATATTATAAACTCATAAACCGAAATGCTGTAAATGGGAGAATCGGTGCCAGCCGATTGAATAACATTTAAGAGATAAAGAAAAATTGAATTTCAAATTATGGACACATCATTGGAGATTAAGGTGTTCAATTTAAATAATAACTTCGTACTTTTAAAACCCTACATACAGAATATCACATCATTTTGAGTGATATCATTTTTATCGCCAAGTTGGTAGCAAATATCAACACGAGTGAGCGAAGCGAATGAGTGTTGATATTTGATATCTACGAGGTGATAAAATGATATCACGAGAAATTATGTGATATTGGGTTTATCCCATGGTTACAATCACCTTGTGATGTTCTGATCCAATTTCCAGGACATTGGCAGACAATATAAACTAGAAATTAGAATATCAATTGAATATTTGAAACACTTTATTTTAACAATCAAAAGTAAATAATATGATATTGTTCGTCATAAATACCATTTTTTAATCGTTAGTTAGCAGCCTTCTTATCAAACCAGAACAACGGCAACGCCAAAGCGTAGCGAATCCCATCGAACAGAAATTGCTGCCATTTTTACAAACGAAGCGCAAATATCATAAAACAACACACCAGAAAGGCCACCATTTTCAAAATGGTTCCTCACTAGCCAAGTTGTCATCAGAAGAAATAATATGCTTTTAAGTAGCAACCTCTAAAATTTTTGAAAAATCGCACACATAAAAAAAAATAACACACATAAAAATGGTGGCCATTTTTCAAAATGGCCGACTACTCCCTAAAGTTTTATTAGACAATGTGCCATGCTTAAAGTATTCACATATCAAATATGAACAAAATCGCTCCACTACTTTTCGAGTTATAGTAAAATACGTTAAAATGGCGGCCATTTTTCAAAATGGCCGCCTTCAACCAAAAGTGCCTTCAGACAGTGTGCAATGCTTATAGTATTCACATACCAAATATGAACAAAATCGCTCCACTACTTTTTGAGTTACAGCAAAAATCGTAAAATGACGAGTAAAGGCCGCCATTTTTCAAGATGGCTGCCATGTGCTTCTTTGATATCTACATTTGTAGCATTATTAATGTCCTTTATAATTTTTTTACATTTAAAACATATTGCTATTACAGTTTTACATATTGCACTTAAATTACTGTAAAATCGTCACTAAAATGGCCGCCATTTTGAAATGAGCGGCCATTTTGAAAATTGGCTTTTGAGCAGAACTTCTACCCCCATAGGGTATATGTGTACAAAATATGAACAAAATCGGGCCAACGGTATTTGAGTTATTGCCCGGACAGACAGACGGACGGACGGACGTACGTACGTACGGACGGACGGACGGACGGACGGACGGAGGCGTTCCCTATATCCCTCCGAACTTCGTTCGATGGGATAATTATATACACAATCGTAATTCAATACACCAATGAAACTTAAAGAGAATAAATTAACGGACCAATTTTCTCAAAAGAGAATAAATTGTCTGACCTAATTTCCAACAATGTGATATCACACGGATATGCGTGAGATAAACGATATCACACGCATATGAGTTTGATAAACGATTTTCTGGAAAATATCACACGGATTTCAATAATATCAGAAATATCAATAGCTGTTATTGTACAGATAACACATTAATCGTGGGATAAATAGTAGATACAGCTCTCAATAAAATGATTTTGCTTTTACAACTGATTGTGGAACATCAATAGTCTTGGTAAATCATTTATTCTACAAATATTATGTATCAGATATAATAAAAAAACGATATATTTATTTCTTTAATAGTTTCTATCAGCTATTGTTAAAGCATTAGGAAAAAGATGCTGTGATGTACGATTGTATGTGTATGTTACAATAATCAACACAGAAAAAGAAAAATAAGCTATTTGGAGAATAGAAAGGTGATCACTTTGAAGAGTGTCCATATACTTCTCTTTTAAATACATGCTCATTTAAAGGACTCAGTTTAGCCTCATTATGGCAGACAGATCACATTATTTACAACCTCACTTTGTATTATGATTATGCTTAGTATCAAGGATGCTTAATATACACAGACGTCATGCTATACAATGTGTGCGCTTAATAAATTGTTTATTATTGCTACATGTAGGGCAGAGAGTACAAATTCAAAACGTTATACAACAATCAGATAAGTTTTTGCATTGCAGTGAACACATGTTGTACAATGATAAGTGAAACACCCATTCAAATAATAAAGTGAAATATCATACAAATATTAAATCTGTTGAATACCTGTGCGTCTTTCACAAGTGATATTCCATGAAGCCCGATATCATAATTCTTTCAAAAAATTTTCAGACATATCTGATTACTTTTTATAAATATCTATTGATTTGACCTATTTTGAAATATTATTTACATGATGTGTATATAAGGTAAAACATGTTAATGGCACTAATAAATGATTGCACTAAATCATTGGACTGACCACACTTTCCAATTTAATACAACAGACTAGAATGTTCTATTTCAGTTCAACACATATGGCACTATGAAGTAAAGAGTAACCATCATATCATAAAAATCAGATTTTTATACAAATTGTATAATATTATACATACAAATACAAGGATGAACATTGTAAATTTAATTTTCAAAAATGTTATAATTTGTATATATATATCTATGTACTTAGTGAACACTTTTCTCCAGAGACCACAAGTGTTTAGTAAACACCACTTCAAGACATATTTCACATTGACTCCTGTATAAAATCCCCTCTCTGTAGTGGACACCTATCAACAGTAAAAATGTTTTGGTGGTTCCATAGGTGTTTTTAATTGTACTTATCAATGCAACCCTTGACTGCCTAAATATGCTGCTTTTAATGCTTGTGTGTAATGTTGTCTGTTTTAAGGATATATCATCTAAACTATAATTTGGTTTTAGCAGATTTAATAATTTTTCTCTTAAGATCTCTGAAAATCTTGGTACATATAGTACATGTATATACTGAGAGGTACAAATGGTTCTAAAATTCAAAGCATACAGTATATATATATATAAGTGAGAATTTTGTTTCCTCCATGAGTCATGATTACAACTCACTTAAACAAATAATCATACATGAACTAATATTGCAGAAATATGATGAGTTTAAGGCGAAATTACATAAATAAGCTAATTTGTCTCAACAAACAATATAATGAAATATATTTACAGTAGATTTTTTCTTCAAAGCTCATCATTCATTCTTAGACTGAATGAAGTAATAAGTTAGTTACTCAAAAGTCCTACATCAAGTCTCAACACATTACTCCCTCAGTGTGTATATTTCTCCATATTGTGCTTGAGTGCAGTAAGACTCAGGGCCCCTCTCTCTGTCCCATATATCTATGACATGCAGTGGAGATTGTTATGTGACGTGTTTAGAGGGGGGGGGTCATTTGAGTGTGAATAAGGACATGGGAGTTGAGGATTGCACTGAGGCTTGATGCAAGACTTAACTAACAAGTATTTACAAGTTATATTACAGTCATATGTACAGGCAGTATTAATTAGATCTACTCGCTCTCATCACAGGGATCTCTCAGCACCCATATAGTCATCTTCATTACCCAAGATTCATCAGCAAGGAAGGTCAGCTCCCATGATTCATGATTTGTTGACAGATCACATTTTATTTTAAAAATGAAATACTCTGCAAATAATGTGTCTTTGTTTTAACACACTTATAAATTTCTATGCCTCGAGATAATACTTCAACAAAACCACAAAAATAATTACAGAAAGTCAGAGAAAAAGTTTCCCTAAGTGAGATCTTATTTAGTTTGCAATACATTGACCACAATACATTTTTGAATAAAACAAAGAGAAGGGCAAAATACTAAGTGACATTCAGATTTCTAAATACAGGGTGACATACATGTACTCCAGAAGTCATAATTCAAGAAGATTCCATTATAAAGAGAAAACATTCCAAAATTAGAAGGTTGCATTTTTGAGTTTTTTTATCATCTTTCATATTGAGGGTGATTTTGAGTCACCCTGTAATATAAAAATATGGCATTTCTTGAACCTCCTTGCTACTTTGAATCTGACAAGTACACTCAAAACACTGTGAAGACGACCAAATGCAATTGTTTAAAGTCTTCTACACATACACTGTGGTTCATAATTATGGCCCCAAATACAAATATTTACATTTATTTTATATAGCGATTGCTTATTTGACACCTACCAACCCCTTTATGCTAATTCTACCAACAATGAAACAAAAATTACCAAATTATTTATATTTTGATCTTTTCTAAAAATCATGTTATCGCTGTGAACAATTCTTTAATATGAAATAATAATAACAACAGATTTTGTTTACTACTTAATCAAAATCAAAACTTGTACAACTCCAGTCTTGTTAATTCATAAAATCCATTTAACATGTAAGTACAATAGTTTAAGTTTTCAGATGTGTGAAAGGAAAAAGTTATTGATGCAAATTCATATAAACTTATCTTAATTGGTCACTGTTAAAGAATTAGCCATACCGAGGTCAGTAGCTTTATGTCAACAGTACGACTCTGAATAGTTCTCAGATGAACCAGAAAGTTTTGAACTTTTAGAAAATGCCGTCGAGCTAGTACACGTTGGCATAGCTGAATCAGGATCAATTGTGATGTCACCATCATCCTCATATGGTTTCAAGAATGAGGTGCTAAGTAAGTGTGTTTTACAGCCATTGTTTTCATGGTCAGTAGCGACCCTGGGAGGCCCTCTATGGTTGCCAGTATCCTCATCATTAGGCAGGCATAACTGGAGCCTCTTCTGACTCTTCAACTGAAGCTGCAAATTAAGCTCCTTGATCTTTGCTTCTTTCTGAAAGGAAAAGGAGACACGGATTGAATGTACAGGGTGAGCCATGGAAAGCATGAACTAATGACATACAACTGGAAAAATCCTGACTGTTACCAAGTAAGGTAATTGAAAACTGGGTATATGATATACCATTAGAAAGGGAACTATGGTAGATTTATATCAAAATGGCCTCACCTCACTTCAGATAGACAAACAAACAAACAAACAACAAACCTCAGCAATCAACTGCTTAGTTTCTTCATTCTCAGCAACAAGACGTTGATGACGCTCCTCTTCTTCCTTAGAAGCTAATGAATCAATAACTGATTTACTATCTAGTCCGTTGTCAGGGTTACGAATCAGTTCCACAACCTATCAATAAAATGAAATGCTAATGTTACCAACTTTCATTGAAAATGTTCAATATAACTTAGGTTTATTGATCGTATAAGCGAATACAATATTAAATATACAATTAATATTCAGGCTAACTTTAATTGTTGGCAGCATGTCTAAAAGCTGATAACCATCTTTACATGCAAATGAATCTGACTCTTGAGCTAGGATGTTATTAGTGAGGTGATATACATGTATACATGTAACTACATGTACAAGTTGTGTTATATAGCTTACCTTGGGAACAAAGATTAATCCCATTGACAAAAGGCAACACAGAATTATCGCTACAGCAACAAAAGCAAAAGTTGCATCTTGTTGAGAGCCAATGATTAAAGTCACTGGAGCAGTGATTATACACAGCACCTAAAATAAAACGAAAATACATAATAATGAATCTTCATTTCTTAAATGCAACTTTTCCTCAATGCATAAATTAAGAGGGTATTTCTCGAGTTTAATTTATGATAAGTTTATCAATGATAACTATGAACAACCCAAAGAAGGAAATATAGGCAGGGCAAACTAAATAGGTCAGGGAAGTTTACATTGGATAGGCAAACCAAATGAGGATATTATTCTACTGTGGGACACAATTTTCACATTTTCAGTCAAAAGAATGTAGAAAATATATTATTTCTAAATTATGCTTTTGCATTTCTCTTGCCTGTTTCGTGGCTACCTACCGATGACAAATAAAAAGTTCATTCTTACATTATATATTAAGGATAATAAAGTTATCACAAATAAAAAGTCCATTCTTACATTATATATTAAGGATAATAAAGTTATCACAAATAAAAAGTTCATTCTTACATTATATTAAAGATAATAAAGTTATCTTGCCAGTTAGTGTACATATGTTTATCTTACCACTACATTATAGATGGCCATTGCAACAAATCTAGAATCATTAAGCTGCTTCATCTTGACACTTCTGGTCTCATAAGCCAGTAGTACCCCAAACAGGAGAAGGATCCCTTTGTATCCATACATAACACCTGGAAAGAGAATTCTCCCTTACAGATATACTTATGATGAAACTACCCTTAAAGGGGCACCTTTAAACGTCACCCTCTTTCAACATGTCCAAGAATGAATGTGGAACTACGACATCCAAAGTCGATAAAGATTTCACGATGTCCAAAAATGAGTATCAGAGATAATGTTTGAACAAAACTTTTAATTAAAGTCTTCGGCTTTTAAACATTGTGAGGCTTATGTTAGAAACAATTCTACTGAAAATTATTAAAGACACAAGTCATGAAACGTCTGCTTGTAAAAAAGTCAGAGATGGACAGGCATCAGAGTGATGGTCAATTAACAAAGGTTGTCTCAAGGTTCCATTCTTGGTCCACAGTTATTCCTAATATAATAGACCATGTTTTATTGAATTGTATTGATAAACATTCTATAAAGTTTCCTACCGAGCCAAACATTGATATTCTCACAACTACAATGCTCTAGTTGTGGCAACAGTTTGATATCTTTCTCTGAATCTAAGGGGTCCTCGAGGGCAAAATCTTCCAGCTCACGTTCTAAAGGACTCATTAATTGCCAGATGGCTAGTAGAATGACATCAAGGAGTAGAAGGAGCCCTATTACAAGATACATCTCCCAACTGTGAACTACCTGAAAATTGAAAATTAAAGTGAAGGATTTCAGATTGTATGCAACAAAAAGTTTTTTTGTTTTTTTTTTTACTATTTTGGAACTTTATTGATCAGATTTATTGATGTTAAGTCAATAATGAATTGTCAGAATTCTAATAAATTAATTAATCAGCCAAATAAATTGCTGGATGACAACAAAAAGAAGACGAAATAAAAACCAGTCGCTTGAAATATCTTAGACACACACTTTGTATATAGAGCTAGTATTCTATTTTCATGTTCAATGGGAATAAAGTGTATAATAGTCTTAAAAGGCCACAAAATCTGAGTTAAAGCCATTTTATAAAATACCCATGATATAACTTTTTGGAGTTTTAAGGTTCCATTTTTGAAATCATGCGACGATGTCAAAGTAGAATTCCTTGTTCATACTCAGTGAATAGGGCCTTTATACAAATAATAGACCTATATACAAATAATAGACCTATGTACAAATAATAGACCTATGTACAAATAACAGACCTATATACAAATAATAGATTTATATACATGTAGAAGGCCTTTATACATTATAAGGCTACTATACATGTAGTGACCCTAAATGCATGAGATAGGGCTATATACATGCTGTAAGCCTATATACATTAGGTTTATAAACATGTAGTGGTTCTATATACATGTAATAGGCCTATATGCTTGGTGTAAGCCTATATACATTAGAAGGATTATATACCCTGGCCTATATACATGTAATAGGCCTATATGCTTGGTGTAAGCCTATATACATTAGAAGGCTTATATACCCTGGCCTATATACATGTTGTAGGCCTATATGCATGATGTAAGCCTATATACATTAGAAGGCTTATATACCCTGGCCTATATACATGTAATAGGCCTATATGCAAGGTGTAAGCCTATATACATTAGAAGGCTTATATACCCTGGCCTATATACATGTAATAGGCCTATATGCATGGTGTAAGCCTACATATATTAGAAGGCTTTTATAGATGTAGTGATCCTATATACATATAATAGTAGTGGCCCTTTAGACATGTAATAGGCCTATATACATATTGTAAGCCTATATACATTAAAAGGGTTATATGCATGTAGTGACCTCATATACAGATGTACATGTACATGTAATAGGGCTATGCAAATGTTGTAAGCTTAGTACATGCAAAATCTATAAAATCACATATTCACACCGGAATAGCCTGACAACGGTAAAGTCAGATACCCATGTCACAAATGGCAGACACAACCGTTGCTTCAAGTCTTCAATCACTCGGTCCTCTTTTCATGGGACTTTATCGTCACTAATTCTGTGCATGTATTAAGCTCTTGTGATGATGTATCATATGAAAACCCAATTTCATATGCATATGGTATAACAGTGTCCGTTGTCCCGTGTCTCATTTTGATCGGTTAAATTTAACACTTTATTTCAATGGTAGAACATTATTAACTGTACAATAAGTATAAAGACACTTTGATTGGTTGTTGTTCCATAGGAATTTAGTCTTGGTGCTCTATTAAACATAGATTTCATGAAAATCTAATTGAAGCAAAGGTTGTGCCCGCCATTTGTGACAACGGTATCTGACTTTACCGTTGTCAGGCTATTCCGATGTGATATTGAATATTTTGAATGTCTCCAATATTTGGGGTAAGCTTGTTTTAGGTAGATCAGGCAGAATGATTAACCCAGTCTAACAGTGCAATGTCTTTTACTCTGACCCAAAAATACAGTGCACTTGCCTATTTGTATGAAGCTAAAGAGGTTAGTCTATTGATGGAGCATAAAATAAATTGTTCTGAATATAAGTTTGGTCTGGGAGTTTGGTGTCCTGAAGGATCTGAGTTACAAGGATTGCACCTTTAATCATTTGATGATTTCATACGAGGCTTGCATAATATGCAAAAAGACCCATCATAAGCACAGAAGCTACTTGGTAGTACACAATGAAACCTGTATATTTCTGAACGCTTCTCTCATCTAATTGGAACACATCTCTATATGAACACCTTTTCTTGGTTATAAATTTGTTGTATCCCATTGACTTACATATATTTTAAGAACATTGAAATGTGAACACCTGCTAATCCAAACACTTTCATCCTCCGAACACAGGCTTCCAGAACTCGTACCTCCTTCTTATAAGAAGAAGGAATGAACCTTGTGGATGATGTCTGGAACCCTGCGTTTGGAGGATGAACACTTTTGGCTGGGCCCAGTGGCTTTGGAAAATACAGGTTTTACTGTACTTCAACAACAACTAGATTAAAATGCAGGATCAGGATAAGTAGCTTCTGTATGTTCCAGAAGTAAGTAAGAAGATTCCAGCAATGGATCTGTCATTAGGAACTTTCTCACTTTGCACATTAACCCTAATTCAAAATGCATCAATTTATATTTTAGTCTAAAAAAGCATACCTACCTAACAATAAAACCATCATTTAAGAGAATTTCTCATTAAATTTAAACATGTGTTATTGAATCAGTAAAACATGCAGATTATATTGTTTAATTTACTATTCTATTTCAGCTACTTGTGCAAAATAAAAAGCATGCAACATCACAAATCATACATACATGTAATTAGTAAAAATAAAACAATTAATTGTAGCAAAAATTATTCATATTTTAATATAACGTTGGAATATGCATTTACTTTCACATTGACTCTTTTGGATTATTTCAGAAAGTAAAATTTCTATCATTCAATGTAAAATGTGTAAAGCATATTTTCAATTACAACATAATTCTCTCAATCCTCAATTTAACAGATGAAAGAAGATTTTCACCTAAAAAACCAAAGCATTTTCATGTAATAAAGCCCGAACTTTTGGACTTTTTTGAAAAAACAAGTATATAAACAGAAATTACCCATAATTGTGGCAATTTTCGAAATGTTACCCCATCTGGTCTCTTATTGCCCCTTTAAGATACAATATTTGCTCTAGTGGAAGGTGGTCAAATATAAACAAATATAGTCAAAGAGGACACCTTGTAACCAATTCTGATTCACCTACTAATTGTACATGTAAATGTATGATAACACCACCATATAACACAATACAACAAAAGACACACACCACAGTCTGTCTAAAACACAAATTGAACACAATTTGTTCCAAAAATCTCAGATATAATCAAAATCATAAAACTGGAGAAATATTTATCAATTTGAAAAGCTGTTTTTCTGCATTGCCCAAAAATATTATTTACAATTTTAATATATGCAGTCAGTTATGAGATTTAAAGCATTTCAGAAGGAGATGGACAAATGACCTTCACATTATTAAGGCATACATGTTTCTATAGCATAAGAAACTTTCTTTGATTAAACACAAGATAGTGCTATGCTACTATTTAGCAGGATGTATTACTCTCAGGTAAAAACTTTTATGCTAGTTCTTGGTCAGGTTCCTAGTCAAATGCAGCACCTAAAACTAAAGACAATGAACTTTTGTTTCTCTGTTTTCTACTCAACTAGCATGCAAGTTATGCCCTGCTAAAATTCACTTGGAATCTAGCTTGCAGTCTTCCCTTGAAACTTTTTCAGAACACTTGTACACATGCAAATTACATCGGGCCCCGTAGTACAAGCCTCGATAATTATGAGTCATTACGGGCAAAAAGGAGCACGATCCTCGTACATGTTGGTATGGAGCTCGTTTTCGAGGCCCATACAAGCTCGTACGATACTCATAATTGTTGTTTTTGAGGCCCATACGAGCATGTATGAGGCCCGTACAGGCAAATACAAGGCTCAAAAATGACGAACTATTACCTGATTATGGGCCTCATTACAGGCAACGTACGAGCAAGTATGGGGATTGAAAATTATGATTTATTACGGGGCTCGTTACAGGCACCGTACGTTCAAGTACGGGGAACGAAAATTACTAGCTATTACAGACTTTGTAATCACAAGCTCTTACAAGGCTCGAAAATTATAAGCAATTACGAGACTCATAACGAGGCCCTTACGAGGTTGTACAGGGCCCATTGACTCAACGAGCTTCGTATGGGCTTGTACGGGGTCTGATGTAATTTGCCTGTGTAGAGCTTTTAATATTTCAGCATGCATATATAACCAACCAAAAACCAAGTAGCATGGGCACTGGGGGATAGAAAACTAAGATGTACAACTACTTTATTTGGAGTGAGAACTGCTTTTACCAATAACAATGGATCAGTTAGGTATATTCCACTAATGGAAGTGGGAAGAGGGGGGGGGAGCATAGGGCAAAATTGCATTTTTTCCCGAAAAATTCAGATAACTATAGATTAATTTCACGGAGTGCTAAAGGTTTGTCAATAAAATGTAAAGCATAGGGAATGGGTTAATTAAAATTGTAAACAAAAAGCAATCATGCTTCATGAAAAACTATATTTTAACCCATTTTCAAACCCAGAGCACTCCTGACCAAAATCAGTTAATTTACAGCTTGGCAATCAACAAGAAAAATGGTACTGTATTGCTGGTAAAAATTTCTGGTTTTGAGGTAGGTAGACCAAAATATATTCAGATACATGAACAAATGATTATAAAAATATCAGGCCTATAATTTGACGGAACAGACATGCCTTCAGAAGATTTTTGTTGCACAATTATCAGATGAATTAATGTATTTCTAAAGTTAAGTTGCCACATTGAATCAATGGAAAGATAAACAATGCATTAACATGCAAAATGTCACCACCTGCCATTTGTTACAGACACCCAAACTCTGACTGCTGAATGGTGACCACCGAATACCAAACGATGTCCACAAAAAAGATGGAGACTAAAACAATATGCCATCACTTATGGTGGTGACATAAAAATCAGATTGTATTCTACCACAAATAATTCAGATATTTGTTTTGGTACAAAATGAGTCTTTTTCATATAAAAAGGGCCAAGAGCCACCGTGCTAAAACAATCAGTTCAAGTAGTAGAATACCCTCTAATAATTTATGGAAAATTATAACTGATGCATAATGGATGGAAAACCTATTCCATGGGTTCATTTTGTGAGCCCAAAAACAATTTCAGTTATTTGAAATAAAACAATCTACTTTCATTGATTCCATTGCAACTTCCCTTTCAAATAATCTTATAATCCGAAACATAGCTCATTTTTGTTTGTGTGCTATCATTTTGCCAAACTTTATAAACCTACCAATCGTGGGTAATTCTTCAATTCATGTGAATCGTTTGCTTTTTGATACTGAAACAAAACCAAGAAATTAACATTATCATACTAAAGAAACCAAGGCCATTAGTCAGATCAGGAATTTTTTGGTGAAAAAGCTAGCTAATAAATATTAATAATGAATATAAGTGATATGTAATTCTGTTATCTTTCTAAAGGCCTAGATTACATCACTAACAAACTAACTTAAAGCTTAATTTTCTTAAATATGGTATGGTACAATATTTTAAACAATATTCAATATAAAAATATCAAATTAAAGTGCAACATACTTGATTAAAAATGAGTATATGTATCTTAATATCAATTCAAATTAATATCTGAGTTGAAAAAAAACTCAAACATTAAACAATGAATTGTTTTGTCAACTTATAGCATACACTTACTAAATCATAATATATCATATCTATGACATCATAACGACATCATTTAAATTTAAAAATATATATATCAGGATATCCACGGTTTGCACATCTATAAATCCGAAATCAAAATATAAAAAATAAAAAAATAACTCATAATGTTTATTTTAATGTAAGCCCCCTAAAAATTCTTCAGTAGGTGACAAACAAAGACAAACAGAACATATGTCACATGAAGTTAGAACACAAAGATATAATGCACAAAATAACAATATTATAAAGCTAAAATGAGTCATAAAGTAACTCAAAAATAACGAGTGCTGCATGTTTCCCAACAAAAATGTGCTGAATGGTTAGTAAAAAATTATTTGTGAAAATAGAAAATCATATTTTCAAGTACCTTTATTTCTTTTTTCCTGCGAGTGGTCAGTCTGTAGATGGTCCAGATCTTTGAGAACATAGCTCCATATGCAAGTGTGAATCCGACAGACAGAACCCATGCTCGAGCCTAAAAATAAAAACAGGTGACTTTGAGAAAAATATTTAAAATAAACGATCACGCAATGGGCATTGTAATGACCTTAAGTATGCAGTACTTTAACATGTAAAAATTGCCTTACTTAGATTTCTGATATCAAAACATGTTAGTAAATAATTATGAAGAAAAATCTGATATTAATTTGAAGTATATTCAAAGATTTGAAACAACAATATTTACACATAAATCAATGGGATAGGTGTGAAAAACATACAAGGGAAAAGTAGTGAACTGCCATTTACATGTACAGGTATATGAGTCCTGGCTCCCATTGTACTATATACCTATATATATACATGGATGTTAGCAACTCATCTGTGGAAATATGTAGAATATATAGGAGATAAGACCCCAGTGTACAATCATAGATTACCTGGCAGAGAAGATCAAATTTGTCTTCACTGACATATCTGCCATCTAGACCAACCAGGAACACACAGAGAAAGCATATCATACAGCCAATGACTGCAATGTTGTTGATTATAGGGTGTGACAGCTGGATATATCTGAAAGCATATCATACAGCCAATAAGTGCAATGTTGTTGATTATAGGGTGTGACAGCTGGATATATCTGAAAGCATATCATACAGCCAATAAGTGCAATGTTGTTGATTATAGGGTGTGACAGCTGGATATATCTGAAAGCATATCATACAGCCAATAACCGCAATGTTGTTGATTATAGGGTGTGACAGCTGGATATATCTGAAAGCATATCATACAGCCAATAAGTGCAATGTTGTTGATTATAGGGTGTGACAGCTGGATATATCTGAAAGCATATCATACAGCCAATAACTGCAATGTTGTTGATTATAGGGTGTGACAGCTGGATATATCTGAAAGCATATCATACAGCCAATAAGTGCAATGTTGTTGATTATAGGGTGTGACAGCTGGATATATCTGAAAGCATATCATACAGCCAATAACTGCAATGTTGTTGATTATAGGGTGTGACAGCTGGATATATCTGAAAATATAATGCATTTCATTTATTTGGTTTCACGAATGCAAGTTTGTGAATGCATTCTACAATTTCCAATTGCAATTGTATAGCATATGGCATAACATTGTAGAGCATACATGTAGAGTATAGATGCTGTGTATCATTTTCAATTAGCAGAAACAAAAGTGAATGACAATAACATTTGCAAATAAGACACACTTGTCATCATGAACTTGGAGTAATTGAAATGAATAAACATTAAAACCTGTCTAAGGGAACAACCTTTGGTTCCATTTAGACAGGTTCCTTTCCTCTTGGGAGGTGTTCCACTAACAGAGGTTCATTGGTTTTAGGACTCTGAAGTATTCCACTTACAGAGCTGTTCTACTCCTAGATGTGTTCTACTTTACAGATTTCACTATACTTTTCATGTAGTCCATTCATACCTTGAATGTCTATGCATAGTGTTAAACACCAGGCAAGCCAAACCAGCAATAATCCCTACGGCTGCGAGGATGCACATGGCAAAGAACAGGACCTGTGAGACTGTACGCAACTGTTTAACTACCTCTGTGCGATCACTCGGAGGACGACCACCTATCCACTTTTCGGTATTCTTCCAAGTAAGGTTGTCAGTCTTCTCATGATAGAAACCAACTTTATAGTATTTGCCATCTGTAATGAAATGTCTTAATTTTTAAGTCTCTTCCCCAAGGGGCAAAGTGGAACATGCATCTCTTTGTGTTTTGGTATCTTAATAAAAATTGAATGTTACATGGAGTCAGCATCTTTCCCTGCAATTGCACTGTGTCAGCATTTTGCCCCACTCTTACACTAAATAGAATCTATATTACACTGAATCAACATCTTACCCCACATTTGCTCTATCTGTGTCCATGCAATCCTGTCCCCCTTAGAGGAGAATGCTACAGGACCAGAGACTCCTAGGAACTTTGTGTCATTTAAGGCAACGTAAATCTCATCCTTGATCTCTGTGTTATTATAGGTAAAGTCTTCCAAAAGCATGTTCTTCTTGGCCAACCTGTTAAAAATACATTTAAAAGAAAAACTTTATTACATGTAAGTCCTTTATTCATGCATTTTTGCGATGAAGTAAGATGATTTGATAATTAGTCCTCAAAGATTTTCACAGTATAGTGATTCATAAGAGTTCTGTTTGATTTGTACACTTAATTCTATCATCAACATACATTGTATTTACGCTGTTACAAGTACATGGATGCAGTGAGGCATGGAGCTCAATAATAGGTAAATCAGATTTCTTCCAGGGATTTCTTATTTACTTTTTATCTAATTTGTAATAATGAAAAGAAAGATTAATATATCGATTATGGAGCCTTATAATCTGTCACTTTGTTTAATGAAATGCCATACAAATCCTTCAGTTTTGACACTAATACTTATAATATTGGATGACAGCTTGTCATTTCTTATTTTATAGAGCATTTCCAGAGCAGCGTAGCATTTCCTTTGAATATGATAAGACAGATTAACTGACTATATGGTCATTCTCTGAGAGGTCAACCAGAAGTGATGATGTCACCAAATAATTTTAAAAAGAATCCAAAATAACTAGTTTTCCTATTTTCTGGTAGGATCATGCTTTACAGCAGGAGTTTTGAGTTAAAGGTTCTCCAAGCAGCCATGTTCTATGTACTGTACTCCTTTTTCCTCTCTGCAGACCCCAAATAAATTCATTCAGTGGAAAATGATGAAATTCTTTCAAAATTAAGAATTTAATCCTTTTCTTTACAATATTTCTTCCAAACTTTAACAAATGCATTTCTTAACGAGATTTTTAAATTTGATATGACATCATTCAGTCTGAGGAACCAATGCTAAAGAACAAGCTTCAAATCCCCAGTAATCAAGAATCTGCAGAGGCAAAGAAGGAGACATGATGATCAAACTGGAGGAAATGCTTGCAGATTGCTGTTGAAAGACTCACCTGTTCATAGTTTTATTGAGAGCATGTGCTATTGCCCAAACAGCGTCATATGCCAGTGGAGCCTCTGGGTAACCCGTAAGAATCTCTGGCTGGGTATTGTTATACTTCTCTCTCAGCTTAACCTTCAATTTCTCATCAAACTGCATCGAAGTCTAGAAATTATTAAAAACTATCATGTACTATGTAATAAAAGAAAACAAAACAGAATAGAAAACATTAAATTCTGTATTATACTCATAAGTTATCCCTGAAAATTTGAAGGTGATACATGTATCGGTTTTTGAGAAAACTGTCAGACGTATGTATGGACAGACAGACGGACATGCCTAGGCCGACAATATGGCCCCAAACTATGTGGTGGGGACATAAAAACAGTTTCATATGCCTCTGCTTGCATATACTGTACACGTACAGTAGAACCTGTATATCCAAAATAAATGTCACGATATTGGATATAGTTTTTTGGTTTTTAAAAAAGTGAAAATATTCAATTTAGTGTAAGACAAAGATAGTACAAGATATAAACAATTCATCTGAGTAAAAAAGTAGCACAAAATAAAAAAACCAAAGTCGCTACCCTATATTGTGAAACTGATGATATCCAAACACCTGGCTAATCTGAACACCTTCCAATCTGAAAGGTTTATTCTGTTCCATTTTGCATCCCTTTCATCCTTCCCACGTTAAAAACACCTTATAATCGGAACAGTGAACACTCATATTTGGAAAATCGACCTGGCAAATCTGAACACTTTTATCAGAAATCAAAAACAAATATTCAGTCAATGTTATTTTTATTATTTATTTCTAATACCTTTTTTCAAAGAACCAATATTGTCCTAATTAACTTATCAAGTCTCAGTGACATCCTAATTGTGGAAAACAGCAGGATGTTTTAGAAAGGTGTGAATACATACAGTAAGTTAATTGGTTTATCCCATAAGAAAACAACTGATTGTTTAAGATTTGGATTAAAAAAAGTTGTAAATCCAGGAGATAATTGGTTTATCCTTATTGGAAATTAACTGGATGTTTTAGATTTGGATTAAAAAAAGGTGTGAATCCAGGAGAAACAGTAATTGGTTTATCCTTATTGAAAATTAACTGGATGTTTTAGATTTGGATTAAAAAAAGGTGTGAATCCAGGAGATAATTGGTTTATCCTTATTGGAGATTAACTGGATGTTTTTTGATTTGGATTAAGAAAAAAGGTGTGAATCCAGGAGATACAGTAATTGGTTTATCCTTATTGGAAATTAACTGGATGTTTTAGATTTGGATTAAAAAAAGGTGTGAATCCAGGAGAAAATTGGTTTATCCTTATTGGAGATTAACTGGATATTTTTGGGATTTGGATTATGAACAGGTGTTAATTGTTTTATATCCCATGGGTCTGTTATGATATGAAATATTCAATCATTAAATATTTTGTATTCACAAAGACAAGACACGTTTGTAGACAAGATCATATCCAGAGAAAGACAAAAAATCAACTTAGTATCATTCCATCACTAAAATGCCTCCTAAAAAGGCTTACAAAGTATTGAGTTTAGCAGATCATAACAAGATTCCTCAACAGTCAGCAAGTGGGAAATCTCAGCGTAGACTAGCCACAGACTTTGGTGTGTCACTTGGTACGATAAACAATACTACTACCCTGAAACGTAAACAGGAGATAATGGATGCAACGGCAGGAAATGTGGACCAAGAAAGGAAACGCATCAAGATTGGAGGAAATGAAGAATATTTCAACATGGAGGATAACAAGGGGACCATGGAGGATACACACCAAGGAACCACAAATGACAGTTGCGAGAGGGATCTTACACCAAATGATAATACAGCTCCAAATGAAACAGAGGACACTGAGACTGAACCAAAAGAGGATGCATCAGTTCCACGCAAGGAGTACAAGACATCGGAAATCATCAATGCCCTTGATGTTTTGAAGGAGTATACATGGACAAAGTCATCATTGGGAATAAACATTTATGAACAATTCTTATTGATTGAAGAGGACATCCTCTCAGCTATTGTCAGTGCTAAAATTGCTAAATTGAAGACACAAACAACAATGGAGGACTTTTTCAAGCAAAAGTAAAGCAGAGCTGTATACATTACCATAATATTGGATTATTATAAATCACTTGATTAGCATAAGACTTCAACTATAGACTATCATACACCTTACATGTACTTATAAAGTATATTACAAAGTTTTTGCCAAAATATAACAGTTATTTTTAATTTAAATAATGATAAAATTTCCATGTGCTATTGTTTGAAATGTAAATAAAACATATTGCCTGTACATGTATAAAGGCCATAAGCCTACTGTAGAATAAACTCATCAACAAGGCATTGATTGTGCATGTATTATTTTCTGACATAACTGTAGTTTTAGATCAGGTACATTCAATAGAAAGCCTATGAACATTGAAAATCTCCCCCCCCCCGACCAACAAAAAAACATCTGCCAATACAAACACTTTTAGCCAGTCCTAGCACCTTCTGATTAGACAGGTTTTACCCAAAAGACAATGTTAAGATGGAGGGTTTCGCTATTTCCTATCAAATTCAATAGTGGATTGACTTGTTTTGTATTCAATATTAGGAAAACTCATTTACTACATGTACCCTTTTAGGGCAAGAAAGAATAATAGACTAGATGTGAGTAGAAATAATCTGGATTTACATCATTAAAAATCTAGTTGAAAGCCAATGGTCAAACTGATGTCATATTTGGAATCTACATGTAAAATTACATCTAAAAATATGGTTTTGAAAAGAGTTCATCAACTGTGAAATTCATTTTCTTTGAAAATTGTGACTTCTAGGTCGGGGAGATTCCCCGTAGACCCCATGTTGTAAAATCAAAAAAAGTAAAATATCTTCAATTGTTATGGGCTGAAAATATATACATGTATTTTCTTTTACTGGACATAATTATTTGAATAATTATTAGACACATACATGTAAGGATTAACTATCAGATATGGCATTAGGGCAATGTGAAACTGAACCACTAAGACTGATGAATATTCAAGTTTAATGGAACTTTGTAATACCCTGCAATGTTATTTCCCCGAATTAGCCACCTGGTGGCGAAACTGGTAACTACCTACTTGCATCTGAGTAATTTGATAGAATCGGAGAATGTCTCAGAATTGAATTAATACTGAGCTGAGCAATGACCAGATCTGATTGACTTGTCAAGATCAGAGGTTAATTGGTAACTTGAAGGGTGGGAGATAAATCAATAGCTCATTGCAGAGAATACAAGTTCACAAAAAAGGCATAGCCAGTATCTAAAATAAGGCGAGGCAAAATAAAATTAGTGAGGCAAAGCTAAGATAAAGGGGATATCATTGTTTTCATTTTTACAAATATTTTTCTTTAAAAATGTTGGCATTTGGTTACACCCCTGTAGAAAATAACCTACCATCCCAGATTAGGAGAGGCAAATTTAATTTGGTGAGGCAAATCTGAATTTGGAATACAATAATATCATCGGACTTCACTTTGAAGTTTTGATTCAATGTCTGAATATAGATATTTCTGTAAAAATCTTACGACACTGAAAGAAATAACCTACCATTCCAGATTCAGTTTTTAAAGGGAATATAGTTCAATTATACACCTTCATTTTTACAGTGTCTGATAAATATTTATCTTTAAAAATGTTGGCATTTGGTTACACCCCTGTAGAAAATAACCTACCATCCCAGATTAGAAAAGGCAAATTTAAATTGGGGATGCAAATCTGAATTTGGAATACAATAATATCATCGGACTTCACTTTGAAGTTTTGATTCAACGTCTGAATATAGATATTTCTGTAAAAATCTTAAGACACTGAAGGAAATAACCTACCATCCCAGATTCAGTTTTCACATCATCTTGATTATACATCATCATTTCTGTTGTAAAATGTCCCTGGAGAACTTCTTTCATCTGCTCTACTGTACAGTCCACCTTGTCATCCTCATCCCTTTTCTCATACCAGTTATCAGGGTACCAACCAACAATCCACCAAACATATTTCCTACCATATAAGCCCTCTTTATAGGCCTGAAAGAAGATGAAATAAAAGTCAATGAGTTAAGGATTATATGATGTATCATAGCTCATGGGAGATAATGATGATGCTATGCTTCCTCAACAATAGGGGGGGGGGGGGGTAATGTTGGTAACCCTGGAGTATTTTGTCTCTGAATCATTAGTTGGATAAACCATTGGTCAGTTTGATCACAATGTTCAGTGATAAAGAAGTAATAAATGTTTATGAGGGTGCAGGATGGGTGAAAGGTATTAACTGTTATAAGGATGGCGTGTCATTATGATTCCCTATTGGGATTACTGTGTTGTTTGTCACATTACAGAAAGTACAAAGGAGAGAAAGTGAATTGATTAGGAAGTATTTTTTCCATTCTATCAGGAATCCTCTTCACATTTTTCTTACTTTTATCTGATATACATAGATGTATAGATATCTAATGGATAAAATAATTTGCCAATAGACAAGTTTAACATTTTGTCCAAAATGGTGTGAATATTGCACATTCCTTACCCATCCTATACATCTAAATGTACTTAAACGATCTCCTTAATTCACTTGGGCTCAGGTGTCAGTGTTAATATTTCAGCAATAATATTAGACTAATGAATGCCATCATGACTTAGATAGAAAGAGTACTTGGCATTTCTGCCAAGGCCAGGAAATCCAAAGAATAATGTGCTAATTGTAAAATCACATGAGAATTTTTAGGAAACATTTGCTTATTAAATATTGAAACAATATTGAAATGCCTGAGGGTGTCAAACAAATTGTTCTTTTCTTTTTACAAATCATAACAAATCTTCGAAATATTTAAAGATTATAGGTCTTCATGGATAGATTTAATCTAGCTTAGTTCAATGTATAACTTGTGTGAACTAAGCCTAAACCTAAATAGAGCTTGTTTATAATTTTGAAAATACTCTTCTTATCTGAGACCAATTTGGTGGTTCATTTAAAACTAAGAGAACACAAGACTAAAAATTTGACCATTTGGCACTAAATGAACACAAAGGTTTAATGCAAAATGAACACAGAGTAGGGGTAAGTACAAAGAAGGCATCTAATTGGTCTTTATGATGAAAGACACTCTTTATGTAAGTGATAGTAAAGGAAATCTAATTGGAGTCTATCTAAATTGAGTGCTGTCAACTAAGATCTCTACTTGAGGAGGCGCCTCAATCCAATTAACGAACCTCTCTTCAGAGACATCGTATGTTAATTGACATTTGTAGTGACATGGGATTTCCTATTAACACTATTGTAACCTTATTCCAGAAAAAATCAAGGATATGCATTCAAAGAATCTCATTTCGGTTCATTTGGGAAATCATTATATACAGATAAAAAATGTAAACATTTCATTCTCAAATCTTGATTTAAAACAATGGAACATGTTGAAATGTTATTAGGTACAATTTAATTTTCTAATTTGATTATTATCCTAAATATTCTTATAGACAATGATTCCAGCTAGAATGTCCCTAAAAGACAAAAAATAGTACCATGGGTACTGGGCTCACATGGTGTTGCTCAAAAGTGAATGATGGCTAAAATGACAACAAATAAAAAAACGGATATAATTTTTTGCCGATTTTTTGTAACAAAATTATTTCATACAACTACTCTTTACAAAGACATGGCGTTTTACAATGCAGGACACCTGAAATTATTTGTAAAGCTATGAAATGGGCCAAAAGTGAATTTCGCAAGACAAAAATGGTGACGATTTTGAAAATAGGCGAGCTTTTGAACCAGGAGTCATAGGGGAGTTTTTTGTATTGATGTTGAACAAAAATAACTAAAAACTGGAATCCTATCGACAGAGGTTTTAAGGCAAATGGTCCAAGAAAGGATTTCGCGAGACAGATGGACAAATCAATGTTAACTAAAATGACAACAAATAAAAAAAATATATATAATTTTTTACCGATTTTTTGTAACAAAATTATTTCATACAACTACTCTTTACAGTGACATGACTTTTTACAATGCAGGACACCTGAAATTCTTTATAAAGCTAGGATATGTGCCAAAAGTGAATTTCGCGAGACAAAAAATGGCGACCATTTTGAAAATTGGCGAGCTTTTGAACCAGGAGTCATAGGGGAGTTTTCTGTATTGATGTTGAACAAAGATTACTTAAAACAGGAATCCTATCGACAGAGGTTTTAAAACGTGCCACTATTGGTTGTCCAAAAGTGGATTTCGCAAGACAGATGGAAAAATCAATGTTAACTAAAATGGCTGAAAATAAAAAAAAAACGGAGGTTTTAAGGCAAATGGTCCAAAAAAGGATTTCGTGAGACAGATGGACAAATCAATGTTAACTAAAATGACAACAAATAAAAAAAACGGATATAATTTTTTACCGATTTTTTGTAACAAAATTATTTCATACAACTACTCTTCACATTGACATGGATTTTAACAATGCAGGACACCTGAAATTATTTGTAAAGCTAGGAAATGGGTCAAAAATGAATTTCACGAGACAAAAATGGCGGCCATCTTGAAAATAGGCAAGCTTTTGAACCAGGAGTCATAGGGGAGTTTTTTGTATTGATGTTGAATAAAATAACTTAAAACGGGAATCCTATCGACAGAGGTTTTAAAACGTGCCACTATTGTTGACGGACGGACGGACACACGCACAGACGGACATCTTGTAATATATAGATACACTGTCCCACATGTTTTGTTAAAGAGCAACTGAAGCATACAATCTTTCCACAAAGATAAATTCAGACCAACATTTGGATATCAGACGGACAAGTGAGTGATTGCAAAAGCTCACCATGTGAGCTAATAATAAAAACAGAAGATCTGCCGACTAATAAAACTTACCCTTTGTTTATCAATTATAAAGGGAACATAAATACCTGACAGAAGACTCGCCTTGCCATATACTCGTAAAATAGTCCAACAATAATTCTTGCATCCTGCCTCTGAAAGTCATAAACATACATTATTAAATAAGCCCTGATGCATTATGAACTGAACTATAAAAGCTTAAGCTAGTTTAGCTGTGCTGTAGTTGCAACTTGCTATCCAGGGATTCATTTTTGGTAAAATCATAACTTATGATTCTGAGAAAACAATCGTCTACTTTTTGTTGAACAATGACTTGCGACCAAATATTAAGTTACAACGGCTCCAAAAATGTTCCCTGGGTCATACTATACCCAGAGGAAGTGTAAGTTTTGTGACTGAAATCCCCTACAAAACTTCCATGCTCATCACCCTAATTGCCTGATTTTGAGAGAATATGTTTTGAAAAGCAATAAAAAGTCAGAGAAGATGGTGTCAAATTACTATAGAAGTTGACTTTGAACTATGAAGTGCAGACAGACATGACTTCAAAATCACTAAAAAGTTGAGTGGCATTTTACAATCCTCAAAGCTTAAGATCTTAATGACCTAAAGATGTATGTTTCATTGATTTTTAGGGGAGCTTGAATGTGAAATGAAGGTATGCTACATATAAGCAGAAAATGAACTGCAGTGACTTTCTAACTCTGTATTCTGATTGGATATTAAGCTTCATCAAAGAATCATTTCTGATTTGAAGAGTAAAGATAAAGTGGAACTCTTGTGAAGAGGAAAATAACAGCAGAGGTTTGCTTATTTCGTCCATTTCCAAAATATCCACTACTCCTTTGTAAATGAAAACAAGACATTGCAAAATGTCACCACCTAACATTTGTTACAGATGCGACTGCTGAATGCCGACCGCAGAATGCCAAACACCGCTCATAAAAAGTTGGAGAATATAACAATATGTCATCACTTGTAAAATACCTGCCATTATTAATCACTGATTCAGAGGACAATGAAATCAACCTATGTGTATAAAGGATTATGAGAAATGTTATAGACCCGCAATAAAATGGCAATATATACATTAAGTATATCAGTTTGAAACAAGATGAGTACAATATCTATATATCTCCACCATGAGAAATTGAGATCTCATGCAGGGGAAAAGTTACATTACATGTGATTGAATGGTTATGGAAATGATACCAATTAGCAATTATAAAACTAATGCACTTTTTATAAATTGCATGCTGTAAATACAGATATCATTGCATTATTTCATGGGCTTTCAAGAGACGAGTAAATCAGTAAAATATTCCATCAGTAAATAGTGGAGAAATCAATTAAGAGACAAAGCCATCCCCCTATGATATCCAATGAAATCACAAAGCCATCCCCCTATGATATCTAATGAAATCACAAAGCCATCCCCCTATGATATCCAATGAAATCACAAAGCCATCTCCCTATGATATCCAATGAAATCACAAAGCCATCCCCCTATGATATCCAATGAAATCACAAAGCCATCCCCCTATGATATCCAATGAAATCACAAAGCCATCCCCCTATGATATCCAATGAAATCACAAAGCCATCCCCCTATGATATCCAATGAAAACACAATTGGCCACATCTGTAGATCAAAAAGCCTACAAAAAGTAACTTATACACAAATATTCATACCTTTAGATTTTTGACAGGATGAGATGGGTCCATACTGAAGCTTTGCCGCACTACAATTTCTATCCCATGATCCTTCACTTGTGATTCTAGGTCATTCATTGTCTGTGGAAAGAAAAAAATCTCATAAAGCACACTGATGATTGCGCTTGAAGACAAATTGGCACACACGAGAGATCGGCACGCCAAGACGTCATGGGTAGGCATTTATAAATGCATAAGACAATTATCATTCTCACCAATTGACCCATGCTACATGTAGTCAGTAAGCCACAAGATAAAGCACGAGAAAAAATGGGTATAGGGATTTTTTCAATGATCCTATATATGTATTTCTTATTGAACAACCAATCTTCTCTAATTGTTTTTAACTGTTATTTTAGTTATTTTGCAACTGTTCATTTTAGGTCAAAAAGAATGCAATTATAAAATTCCTACTTCAAGATACACAGGCATGTGCAATTTCAACCAAGTAATAACACCCAATAATAACATCATAAATAAGTTTCCTTAGCTCACTAACCCCAAGGCCATGAACCAATTCATGAAATCTTTTCATCAATATTTTTGCCAAGTAAAGAAATAGAACTATAAATACTAATAAAAATGCCAGGGGTTCATATTCTATAAAATTTACAAATTAATAATTGATTATTTTGTGAATGATTAATTCAACTATCTGAAGCAACAAATCTATTCTTAATAATATTTTTGCATATCTCATTAATTTCCTCTATAAATTCTAATGAAAAATAATTTTCTTAATTTAATCGAAATAGATTTTTAGTTTCTTATGTCAATTATAAAAGAAACCTAGATCTCTGGAAAAATAGCAACATTTAATGGCACACGATCTTCAGAATCTGTCAAATTTAATTTAGTGGAAACGGGAAAGGAGTAAAATACAACAGTGATCTTTGTAAATACATACCCACATAAGAATAATTGACCAAAATTGAGATTTACAGAATACAACCATCAAGATTCTTTACAGTGTACATATGGATTATTTGTTCTACTCACAGAGGTCCAAACTTCTTCCGTCTGAACAATTGTGGCAATTCTTTTCCATTCAAACCTCTTGAAGAGTTTGATACGGGTGGGATTATGAATGACAGCAGACGGATGAGTCCGGAAAAAGGTTGGGTAGCGCTCCCTATTGGATAGTGCAGGGGAACTTGAACCGTACGAGAGCTGGAAATATAAAATAGTGCTTGTTAATTAAAGGATTCTGTTAATGTGCATAATTAAGTTCTCGTGGATAAAATGAAATGCCATATTTCATATTTGAAAATTATATATCAATGATACACATTAAATAACAGGTTGGAGGAAATGATTAGATCGAAATCTTTACTCTTTGCAGGAACCAATATTGTTTTACAATATTAATGACACAAGTATAAGAAATATCAATCAAAATGTTAAATGTTTAAGGTACAATGCTCAAACAAGGCATTAACATGCTAAATCTGCCATTTGTTAAAGATGTTGATGCAGAATGATGTTACAGATGCAAAATGCTTTTACAGACACCAATGCTGCTACAAATGCTGAATGTTGTTACAGACACCAAACACCAACCACCAAACATGCTCAACAAAAAAATTGGAGTCTATAACTTCTGGTGGTGACATAATAAAAGTATTCGTAGCACCCCTTACTTTCGTAAAACACATTAAGCCACGAGGCCTCTATGACATCATTGAATGGTAAACAAAAACTGCAACATGTCTCAAAGTAAATATTATTGCGTTTGTGATTTGATGATGCAATATATCCTAATGAGATCTCTACTCTCTAATTACCAAATCGGTAAATATTTCATTTCCACAGGTACAATAAGGTAAGAAGCTATTGATAAATAAACCTGGCAACTTGACATAATCTCCTGATTTAATACGATCAAACATGATTCAATTCTTTGTCCTTTACAATTTATTGCCTGAGCTATTAAGCTACACTGTTTTCATTACTGTTTAATAGTGAATTTGGGTGAAAAGATCTTCATGGAGGGAGACAAACTATGAAATAAAAAAGATATAATCCTGTTTTATATTATATCTAACTGTTGAGCATCATGCCTGTTGTTCATAAAAAATAAGTAAGTATTTAGTATGTATTCCTCTACATCTAGGTGTAGTTTATTTAGTAGCAATTGCAAGTTTTGGTAAATAAAGCACTGATTTATTTTGTGATCTTTTGTTTTAGTGAGTGGGAGAAAAAATGGCAGCCTAAACCCCAACTTAAAAGTACATTACTGGTACATGTCATGACAAATCATGTCAAGAGTAACTCATGGGACAAGCCTCTCTTGACATTAATGAAAAAATAATCCATTATCTTGTTTTATGAAAGATTACGTCAAGGGAAGACATTGAACAAACATCTCTAGAAAGTGATTCTTTTCAATTTCCCAGAGGTATATACAAAGAAGTTAGTGTTATAGATATACGGTATGAGCAGATAAGTCTATGTCTCTGTACAACTTCAGCTAGAAACATTATCAAGTGTTAACACCATTCCGCCAAAGGCAATAACAGTATACCTCAGTACACATTCTTTCCTGAAATATCAGGATTAATTTTACGCTTACTTTTTCATTATTATAGCTTTTGGATACAGAATTCAAGGTAATGAATTGAATGAATAGGCGGAAGTTGACAGTCAAAGGAAGATTCGTCCCCTCGGGGAAGCATAGAGGAATGTAATGGAATCAGCCACTTTTCCATCAATCTATCCATCTGTCAACAATTTTCAACAGCTTTCAACACTGGCTATTCTCTAAACCAATGCTTATGTAATGCCATATCTATTCTATGGAAGTCCAATGCTGATAATTTTGACATATCCTTCTTACTTTTGCCTTATTTTAAAGAAAGCTACTTCTTCTATAAAAGTTTATATGATGTGCTAAAATCAGCTTATGTACAATGTTGGATATTGATGGGTGTATCATTATCAGTCTGAGTTTTAGCTTAGCTGGGGTCCCTATAATTTTGTAAGAAGTTGGACTAAGATCATGCTTGCAGAATCAGGAGGTATATTTCCATTTTACTGCTCTCCTCTCGTAGTGGACACACAGGGTGTTTAAAGGAAGCACCCTATTAAATAATAAAATTCTGTTTGTTATTTGGTCTGCCTTTACATTTAGTTTTACTGGTCTTACTATTGGTAAGGTTGTCCATCCACACTTTGGTATTTTCGATTTGGCATTGAATTCTCCTACATACCTGAGATTAATGCCTTTTATACCCAATAAACCGCAAAGGTATCTGTTTAATACTCAACTTCTCTGAGCTTCAATTTCACTCAAATTAAGTTAATTCACTCTGTTTCTCTCTACAACTTGACTGAACTACATGATTTTGTCGTATTTCCATTAAAGAGCTCTCAACTGTATACTTGTTCATTTAGATCTTTGCTAATTTCACAATTTTTCAAATAATCTTAGATTTCAAGAAATGGTATCTTATTTGCCGGATATCAACAACCTGTCAGCTAAAAATTTCTGAATATAAACAGTTGTTCTTACAGATCAATGGTGATGTAAGGCAAGCAGTAACATACCTACAGTAAAACATGTCCAACTGAACACCTCTCTCAAGTGAACACCTGTCTCTAGTGAACACCTCTCTCAAGTGAACACCTGTCTCTAGTGAACACCTCTCTGAAGTGAACACCTGTCTCAAGTGAACACCTGTCTCTAGTGAACACCTGTCTCTAATGGACACCTTTCCTCCACACATACTCTACTGACTTCTGTATAAACATATTAAACAACCTCTCTGTAGTTAACATCTACCACACTGAATGTTTATTCTCGGCAAAAAAATGTTCAATATACACTTGTTTTACTGTATTGTGAATAACACAAAATGAATCTAACTCTTTGCACACCTTTTTACATTTTATCTATAATATTTGAATCAATTATTTTAATCTTTTGTATTTCTATATGAATTAAAGAGTTGGCTTCTTATTTAACTCTTTTCCGCTCTTTGGACTTCAAAATCATGGCCTTGAGATATTATACCATCTGCCGGAATTAGATCTATAAACATAGATCGTTTCTTTAAGATGACATAGATCAAGAAGATCAAATAAAGTATTCAGGTGGTTAAAGATTTACTGTTGCGTGAAATTGATTTATCTTTTGAGGAACTTATTTTTTCAAAGCACAACTGATCCCTGGGGCATGTACATTTAAAGACATGTTGAAATATAAATAGATGATAGATTATTGAAGGTTTTTAAAAATATGAAAAAATTATCATCATAGTTAAACTTCATCGAGGCAGTGATTTTTGATGGTCACCCGTACTTGTTTCTGAAACCATGTATTTGTGTGTATGTTGGGGGAGTTGAAACATGCTTACTAACAATGCCAGATCACTTAGCCTTTGCATTTGTTTGGCTTCACGTCTTAAAGATAGCTTCATTTAAACTCACCAAGCAAACTAGAGCTTGTCGTCACCAGAAGGACAATTTTCTATATATGGTCATATTCTTTGACGTCATTGTTGATGAAGCAGCGACTAACATGAAAATATTATTGAAACATGTTCCTTTCTGCTTGCCGATTTCTGCTTGCCGATTGTGTCAGCGGGTGAGTTTGAATTGATTTATGACTTAGCTGTGACAGCCATCAGCATTGGGGCCAGGGCTGCTATACTGTTAAATTGTCTGAACTAATCCAAGTTTATAAATAACTGTGATTAGGATACAGAACATTAAATATGGAAAAGAAATGTACTTCATCATCATTAAGTAGGGATTTTCACAATAAAATAAAGATTACGTATTGATGTGAATAAAACATTTTCCACATATTAGTCACTAATAGTTTCGCATTCATAAATTTCTGGCTTGAAGTATCCCATTTTAGATATTTTACTTGAACTAAGTCTAATATCAATGTTTTTCCCACTAGGAATAGAAATAATATTTCATCCAGCAATGCTTGTTTTGATGTATAATTTCCTCTTGTAAATCAGTTTAATTATTGATGTCACTGCAAAAAAATCGTTTCATAAGAATACCTGATAGGATCAGTTAGATTTTGTTTAATTGGGACAATAGAGAGGGAATGATTTCTCGATATTTTCAATATCATTGCCAAGTACAGCCCAACGGCTTTATTGAATCATGAATGGTTGTCATGGTGATGTTACAAGTTGGTCATATGATACATTGCTATTACTGCTTTAGGTGTGATGAAGTATAGATTTCGAGAGGGTCACCTTGTTCAGGTTAATTTTATGTCTTTTTTCTTTCTGAATGATCTGCTTAAAATGTCTCCTTCAAAGTCTATTCTAATTATATATTATGTGGAAATATATACCTGTTCATTACCCTACTATCACACCAAACTAGTTCTCACTACGTTTTCGAAAACGGGATTCAACTGTGTACGAAAGGACTGGACGTACTTAGAACCATTTGGGGTCTATTTACAAACTTCATCGAACGTACTCGAACGGGAAGGTCCTCTAGAACTTAGAACATGCTCAAAATGTTCTCGTGGTCGTCACGTTTTACAATTAGAAAGAGTCACAACGTACTAACGACGAGCTGGACGTTCTACGAACGGAACCGTCGTACTTCAATCCTACTAGGGACGTTTTTACAACGAGTTGAACTGTCTGAGGACGTATTGAGAACGAGGTAGAACTAATTGCAAATGGGTTTAAACTGACTAAGAACGTATTAAAGACTGCTTATGAACGAGTTAGCAAAAATATAGCTATCACACCAAACAAGTTGCCACTGCATTCTTCAAAACTGGTTTTAAACTGTGTGCGAACGGAATGAACGTAGCTGCAACTTCCTAAGGTCTATTTACGAACTTCATGAACGTTCTCAGACGGGAAGGTGATTTTAGAATTTTGAATCGGTTCAAAATTCGATGGCGACCATACCGTTCTGTAATCAGGTCATGATGACCTTCTAGACTAAGGGACGCGTTGTACGACGTTGCACACCGATCGTGGTACGACATAAACGAACTGTGAATGAGATGGACATATTGAAGACTGTTTATGAACGAAGTAGCTAATTATTTTAGAGATATTTCCCGACCACCGCCAGATTGAGCCCGTTTTACGACGTTTTCGTAGGACTGGCAAGAACGGGTAAGAACTAGTTTGGTGTGATAGGGGGGTTACATTCCCCACTTATGCCTCAGTTGCATTTGCTGGCAGCCTAGTTTTCCAAAATACCTGAGGCGACGATCTAAAGGTCGCCTGATGGCATATCCCTATTTTTTACAGGCTGTAGAATTAACACAGAGTTGAAACATTTATCTTTTCAACACATATGTTTATGTTCATGAATAAAATATCTTATATAGTTGAACAAAGTTAAAGGAATGGAATTTTTGCTTAAGGAAAGGATATGCAATTGTACCCTCATCATCTCCCTTAACATAGCCAGTTGCCTACATGTACATTCATCATTTCCCTAAACATTTACATGTACACTCATCATCTCCCTAAACATTCACATGTACACTCATCATCTCCCTAAACATTCACATGTACACTCATTATCTCCCTAAACATTTACATGTACACTCATTATCTCCCTAAACATTTACATGTACACTCATCATCTCCCTAAACATTCACATGTACACTCATCATCTCCCTGAACATTTACATGTACACTCTTCATCTCCCTAAACACATACATGTACACTCATCGTCACCCTAAACATTTACTTGTACACTCATCATCTCCCTGAACATTTACATGTACACTCATCATCTCCTTAAACATTTACATGTACACTCATCATCTCCCTAAACATTTACATGTACCCTCATCATATCTCTAAACATTTACATGTGCGTGCATCATCTCCCTACCATTTACATGTACACTCACTCTTATTCAATATTTAGCAAGAGTCTAGGAATATGAATTAAATACTGATGAAATACTGCTGCTAATGTCTTAAAGGTTCAATATCAATCATCCAGATTGATCTCCGAAAGTATTTCTCTGAGTATCTGCCTCTTTTTCTCAGTTTCTTCAGTTTAGTGAGTTGAGAGGTGTGATATGGTCACCTTAACCAAGAGGTACTTCACTTCTTATATCCTGCTAATGAATCTAATTACTAACTACATTAGCTAATTACCTGAACAAGATTCTCTGGATATACATTGCACAGATATTTTTCAACGATAAATGCATGACATTTTCTATAGGCTCAGTTAAAAGAATTTAAAAGATTAGCTTGGGATAACAAGCAATCCAGAACCTCAATACGAACCACTCTTAATAATGACCATTATGATAAAAATGTTCTTGTGCTACAGTGTCTACTTTTGTCTTGCAATGTAACACAGAGCAACTTCAGTAATCACAAACTAACCCCTTAAAGCCATATAAATGGCCAAAATCTCAAACTGCAGGTGTCATGCAACAAGTATCAGTATACAAAAAAATGTATATAAAACCAAAACTTTTTACATAGCATTTCTGGAAAAATGAGTTCACCCTTTCCTAATCTTGATACACATACAGTACATATATAGTGAATTCTACAACTGTTTTTGTTAAAATGATAATTTCCCATAAATTTACCTGATGTTTTCCTTTGTTTTGCCTGAAATTCTAACGAAATCCCTGAAATAACTATGATATGAATAACATGGCTGTATTGTTTGGGTTTAATTTAGTTAAAGATCACTTACCACAACAAGATTCCACATGCGTGCAGCTTGGGCCACAAAGGTAGAGACACTGCTGCAGCCTGTCATCATCATGATCTTCACTGGTTCTGTATAGAGAAGATCATACATTACATTGGTTCCCAGCCCAGCCTGACACTGAAAATATATTGAAATAGTACATCAATGATTGAAAAACATGGAAATACATGTAGTACATCAATGATTGAAGAACAAAGAAATAAGACATAAATGATGGAAGAACATGGAAATAGTACATCAATTATAATGGAAAAAACATGGAAATAGTACATCAATTATAATGGAAAAAACATGGAAATAGTACACCAATGATGGAAAAACATGGAAATAGTTTGCCAATGATGGAAAAACATGGAAATAGGACATGTATGGAATATGGTATGAACCAACTTTCCTGTTATAAGCATTTGAACAGTTTAAACATTATCTGATTTTGTTGGAAAAAAATCAGTGAACTACCAGCACCATTTGAAATCCCATATTAAAGGGCTGTTATGATCTGAGAACATTCTTGAAAAATGAAACATCCTAGACATCAATGATGGAAAAGCATGGAAAGAGGACATTAATGACAGGAGTACATGGAAATACATTTAGTGCGCCTATGATGGAAAAACATGGAAATAGTACGCCAATGATGGAAAAACATGGAAATAGTACATCAATGATGGAAGAACATGGAAAGAGGACATTAATGACAGAAGTACATGGAAATAGTATGCCAATGATGGAAAACATGGAAATAGTACGCCAATGATGGAAAACATGGAAATAGTACATCAATGATGGAAGAACATGGAAAAAGTACATCAATGATAAAAAAAACCATTGGAAATAAAACAAAAATGATGAGAAAAAACATACATATATGATAGGAAACGATGTGGAAAGAGCTTATCAATGAGGAAAAAACGCAAAATAGGGCAGACTGAAACCTATCAATGTAAAGCAACATAATTAGAAATATGAGACAATATGACCTTCTTTATTGTGGGAATGCTCATTTAATAAACTTAGGATGTTATTACTACTCCTGCTGCAGGCGATTTGATTCAATAAAGCACATCCTAATTCAATCTTTTATCCTGGGCACTGGTGTAGTATAAACATCCTCAATACTGTGGTTAGTTATTATCATACCTTCTAGCAAAATCTTGCAAAAAATATTTTTCACAAGTTCTAACTACATCTTTCCATGGGCATTAAATAGATCCTATTGAAAGCCCCTGATCTTTCTTCGACAGCAAGATGATGGAATCCAAGATCTCTCCTTATAGAGGAGATCTATGTCAATGATCATCATCCAATACAGTGAACCAATATCTTATAAACCAATTCACATTTGCAGTGAAGCGTATAAGTATGATCATGTCTAATCAAAATAAAACATGAAAACTAAATTGCTACACTCTACCAATAAATTGGATATATGGTGAATGGGAGTTGCAGTGACCGTGTCAAAGCATTTCTAACAAAAATACCTATAAAGTATTGCAGTCAAAGCATTTCTGAGAAGAATATAGATCATTTGTGCATACACTTTGAAGAAATCCTTTACAGCCCAGTCAAACTATTGTTTTCAAAGCATATCTGAGAAGAATATACCGTAGATCATTTGTGCATACACTTTGAAGAAATCCTTTACAGCCCAGTCAAACTGTTGTTTTCAAAGCATATCTGAGAAGAATATACCGTAGATCATTTGTGCATACACTTTGAAGAAATCCATTACAGCCCAGTCAAACTATTGTTTTCAAAGCATATCTGAGAAGATTATACTGTAGATCATTTGTGCATACACTTTGAAGAAATCCTTTACAGCCCAGTCAAACTATTGTTTTCAAAGCATATCTGAGAAGAATACCGTAGATCATTTGTGCATACACTTTGAAGAAATCCTTTACAGCCCAGCCCAACCAATACTTTCATTCAAACAGATGAATGCATAGGCAGGTCCCCAACTGCATTTGTTAGGTGTGACAACACACACGTAGTATTGTAGTTCAATTTTGGGAATATACACTTTATTAAGTGTCACCCATTTCATGTATTATATTTTTGTGTGTATTTGAAATAAATAAATAAACAAACAAATAAACAAACAAAACAGTCAAACTATTGTTTTCAAAGCATTTCTGACAAAAATATCATGGATCATTTGCCGACACACTTTCAACAACTCTTCACTAAAACCAGCAGCCAATGTCATAAAATGATATATATTGTAGTTACACGAATGCATGTCTTACAAAAAGACACAGAAAAACAGACCCAGCACTCCATTCCTAGCTCTTCCTTATTCTCAGAAGTAGACTAATTTTCTGCCATTTTTCCACAATTTATCAGATTCCCATTATTGTTTGAGTTAAGTGTAATATATTGGTTGACTTACAACTTATTAATCCTCCATACATTATGCAAATCAGGCACAAGCAAGGGTACATTGTCTTATTAATCCTCCATACATCCCCTTGCAAATAAATGTTTATACTGCTATTTGTTCTTTTCTTTTTATTGTCCTAGTGACATATTATTTTCTGTAGGAACAAGGTTTTTATCCTTATACATTGTACATATACTATGAGGCTCTATGATACAGTTTAATGACTCTCAATACATTTTGAGACAACATTATTTACTTACAGGAGGCTATTAATGAGCATATAGTTAAACCTAATAATAAACAAACAAACAAACAAGCAAACAAGAGGCCATTGTAGCTTTTTAACTGTTCATTAAAGGTCAAGATTTGCTGAGCAAATGAAGCTTATTTGCAAGATGACTATTAATTGTGTTGCATAGGAATATTAGAAATTAATCTGAAAAATGCCAGGAAATGCCACATGCCTATAACATGTCACTGATTTATTGAATATAATGAACTTTACACGATTCATATTATATCTCACACTCTTCAATAAACCCTTAACAAGAGAAAGAGTATGGATGAAAATGAAATGTCAATGGGCCACACTCTAAAGAATAACACAGATTCACAAAATAAAAAGTATAACCATGAACAGAAATGTGGTGAATGCTCTGTTCTGAGGCTCATCAACTTTCTATTGGTAGAAGTAATAAGCCTTCAGGGGTTTCCAGAAAGGAAGCTGACATCAGCTCTGACCTCTCTTGGTGTCAATGCTCTCAATAATACAGAAATGAAAGAAAACAGTGTTAATGACAGGAGTTCTACTGGATGCAAGGTGATATACATAATCGGATATAATGCATTTGTGGCTCTCATCTCAGTATACTTCAATAACAATATATTTTGTAATTTGTCTTGGTCTAAAGTTAAAAGCACCAAATTAGAATTAAAGTATCTTTATAGCAGGGTTCTAATGTTTAATACATTTCTTCTTAAGGGAGATGAATTGCATCATTAATGAGTTTAGAGACTGACTTTTATTGTATGATCTGTAAAAGGAAGCCATCTGATTGGTCAGTTCTTGTGCTGTACCAATCTGTATTGCTGATGAGATTGTCCCCATTGATCATCTCCGTGGCAATACAGAAAAAATATTGGTAAGGAGGGGGCAATCTCAGTAGCCTTTGGTTGGCTGTTTTTGGCTCTACCCACCCACTGCCTACATCTTTAAAGCTTTGCTATATTCTCATCACAAATAAATTACATGTACAGTAGAACCTGTATATCTGAACACCTGGCTAATCCGAACACCTTCCAGATTGAACACTTTTTTTCGGTCCCATTTTTTCCTCCCATTGACCCCCATGTAAAAAAAAAGCTTGAAATCTGAACACCTCCTAATTTGAACAATGAACAACCATATTTGAAAAAGTGACCTGTCTAATCTGAACATTTTTATCAGAAATCAAATGTCTGGACATTTCAATTATAGCCACATATTGAGTCAATGTTATAGTTGTTATTTACCTTTACATATACAATGTAATCAAAGAACCACTATTGTCCTAACTAACTTATTTAGTCTCAGTGACATCCCTAATTTGTGGAAAACAACAGGATGTTTTTGAAAGGTGTGAATACAGGAGTTAATTGGTTTATCCTTAGGCCTTATTATAAATTAACTAGATGTTTTTGATTTGGATTATGAACATGTCTTGACTGTTTTATATTCCATGGGTTTGTTATGATAGCTAAGATTCAATCAGCAAATGTTTTATAATCACAAGGACAACACAGACGACATTTGCAGACAAGATTTAGAAAAGAACTGAATGTTTTTGATTTGGATTAAGAGAAAGGTGAGAATCTGGGAGATAATTGGTTTATCCTTATTGTAAATTAACTGGATGTTTCTGATTTGGATTATGAACAGGTCTTAACTGTTTTATATCCCATGGGTCTGTTATGATAGCTAAGATTCAATCAGCAAATGTTTTATAATCACAAGGACAACACAGACGACATTAGCAGACAAGATTATATCACGAGAAAGAGAAAAAATTCAACTTTGTAATATCCTATCACTAAAATGTCTCCTAAAAGGCATACATCTGACATCCTGAATGCCCTTGATATTTTGAAGGATTATACATCATCTCGAATGAACACTCATGAAAAATTCTTTTTACTTGAAGAGGATATCTACTCAAATATTGCTGATGCTAAAAGTGCCAAGAAACAAACAACAATGAAGGACTTTTTCAAGCAAAAGTAAAGCAGTGCTATATTACCATAATATGGGATAAGTCGTTTGATAAGCATAAGATTTCATACAAGACTATCATATACTTTTACAATGTATTACAAAGTTTTTGCAAAAATATAAGAGTTATTTTTACTAAAACGATGATATTGTTCAAAATATAAAAAAACATAGCATATAGGCTATATGACTATTGTAGAATTAACTCATCAACAACATTTATTGCTTTCTGACTTAGTATTAAGTGTTCAATATAGTGGACTGAACAATGAAAATCCCCCCCTCCCAACCAACCAACAAAATCCTCGAAATTTGAACACCTGCCAATTTGAACGCTTTTGGCTGGTCCCATGGGTGTTCGGATTAGACAGGTTTTACTGTACTTGAGAATTTATGACATCAGGGTATGATGGTCTCATTCTGCATTTATATGCAGCTCCCTTATTTCCTGAAAGATTGGCTCCAGCCTTGTTGTATTAAGTATCTGCAAGAAGTTAGCACTTATTGCACCAGGAGTGGAATAAGTACAAATAAATCTCATGTTTATAAACATTTTTTATTCTACTTGTAGCTGTTTCACAGGATCTCTTTATTATACTGAAGTATATTGTACCAAAAGTTTGGTTCATGAAAATACAATGCATCATACTGGCATTTAGCCATTTGCCCAATAGACACCCTGTTTTTCAAGTCCATTTTCAAGTCCATTAACAAAAGCAGATTTAGACACCTTTTAAGAAAAACCTGAGGAGATCTCTATAACCATAGTAATCCCTCAAAACAATGCAATAGCAATTGTTGGGCAGAATTATCTTTTTGATATCCATTCATTATATTTATCAACTAAAGGGATTCTTGTGCTGCTATTACTCTGTTTTCATAAGAAACATAACAATGGACAAGATGCTGAGAAGGAAGATTGAGTGCAAACATTAAATGATTAACCCTTTATCCTTTTCAATAAGTAAAAATAAAGAACATTTCACAAGGTGCAAAAACCTGGAATGGTCTATAGGGCTTAATGTACGATTACACTTATTATATATTATCACAAATCAATATAAAGCTAATGGAACTCTCAGCTAAATTAAAGAAAATAAATTGGATCAGGCTTTATAAAGCAATATATGGGTTTCTATAGGTCTTTATAACAATATAGATAAGAGGTAACTCACTCTAATGTTGCAAAATAAGGGGGAGGGGATATAGCTCTTCAAGAAATATATTCCTGCAATAAGAATATCAATCTAATTGATATCCTTCGAAAAGAATACCTATACAGTAATGCTGTATTTCATGCAACACACCCTTCAATACCCCGTTCAATACTTTCTATACTCTAATTACAGTGAATACACAAAAGTGGGTTGAGGGAAACATTGGGGGAGGGAAACCTACCAATAATAATGGTAAAAATCTGAACATCCCTGAACATGCAATCAAATGGACATGTATTTTGCTTAAAGAAGTATGTATATGTTAACTCAATTGAAAAAAACAATCCATTTGAATAAGCCACTTTATAAATATAAACAGTTCACTCCAACCAGGGTATCAAAATAGCTTACTCTATACCCCAAAGCACCAACCAGGGTATCAAATAGCATACACTATACCCCAAAGCGCCAACCAGGGTATCAAAATAGCATGGAGAAATATTTCAGAAAAATATTCTTTTCAGTCATATAAGCAATGTTATGGAAGGTATCTTTACATTATTCATTTGATACTCCAAGTTGGCATAAAATCCAATGAATCTTATTGGTATAAACACTAATTACTTAGCACTTACTCCCCTTGAACAATATTTATGTCAGACTAAGCTTAAACTTTATACTGACATTTTCAATTACGGATCTGGCAAGAAATCAAATGCCATGAGATGGTATTAGAGGCCGGCTACATTTTTGTAAAATGAAACTGAACTTTTCTGACAGTTTGCCCTAAGTAGAAAGTACAGGGGGACACCTTCCTATTGCAAACACCTCAGAATGTGATGACATTTTCATGTCAGTTCTAAGATTCAATATTCACTGTGCATTGAATGTTTTATTTATCCTCTGATTAAATGAGAAACATATACATTGAATATTTCCCAAGAATTTGTACAGCATTTATCAAGGTAAGGTTCGTAAAATGAATAGCAAAAAAACTTGCACCTTTTAAAAATCATACAATAATAAGGCTTAATTAGCTAATTCAATAGTAAGATTTCATGAAGCAAAAATTGGAGCTATGAAATTCTATCCTTAGATAGCTAGGGATACAAAAAGGTAACATATTTTCAGCGAGCTATCTAATCTGTTAGATGTTGGTCTTGAATCTAAATATAGTAAAAATCACATTCTACCTGTATGAAATCAATCTATGAACTCAAGTGCACTCTCAGAAGTGTAAACATGGGGAATAGATATAGATGGAACATAAAATGTCCATGGATAAATTATCTTAGAATCTTGTTTAATTGCAAAATGGAGCAAAGGAAAAAACAATGCTCTAATACCTGAGTCATATTTGCTCTTTGGCAAGGATGGAGTGCAGTTGTAGCTCCCCAAAATCAAGAATTATCTGTAGCATCAACCAATCAGAAGATCTATGTGGTTGTCTGAGAGTTGTATCCCTTGCCTTTACATGCAGAAGGGATCTATGGTTATCTCAGGATCGTATCCTTAGCTTTTACAGGCAGTGGGGATCTATGGTTATCTCAGGGTTGTATCCTTAGCTTTTACAGGCAGTGGGGATCTATGGTTATCTCAGGATCGTATCCTTAGCTTTTACAGGCAGTGGGGATCTATGGTTATCTCAGGGTTGTATCCTTAGCTTTTACAGGCAGTGGGGATCTATGGTTATCTCAGGATCGTATCCTTAGCTTTTACAGGCAGTGGGGATCTATGGTTATCTCAGGATCGTATCCTTAGCTTTTACAGGCAGTGGGGATCTATGGTTATCTCAGGATTGTATCCTTAGCTTTTACAGGCAGTGGGGATCTATGGTTATCTCAGGGTTGTATCCTTAGCTTTGACAGGCAGTGGGGATCTATGGTTATCTCAGGGTTATATCCCTAACTTTTACAGGCAGTGGGGATCTATGGTTATCTCAGGGTTGTATCCTTAAGCTTTTACAGGCAGTGGGGATCTATGGTTATCTCAGGGTTATATCCTTAGCTTTTACAGACAGTGGGGATCTATGGTTATCTCAGGGTTGTATCCTTAGCTTTTACAGGCAGTGGGGATCTATGATTATCTCAGGGTTAAATCTTTAGCTTTTACAGGCAGTGGGGATCTATGGTTATCTCAGGGTTGTATCCTTAGCTTTTACAGGCAGTGGGATAAGTCTATGGTTATCTCAGGGTTATATCCTTAGCTTTTACAGGCAGTGGGGATCTATGGTTATCTCAGGGTTATATCCCTAACTTTTACAGGCAGTGGGGATCTATGGTTATCTCAGGGTTGTATCCTTAGCTTTTACAGGCAGTGGGGATCTATGGTTATCTCAGGGTTATATCCTTAGCTTTTACAGGCAGTGGGGATCTATGGTTATCTCAGGGTTGTATCCTTAGCTGTGTCAGGCAG